CAGAACGGGAGAAATTTAAAGTAAAAATCAAAAACAATTTTCTTTTTTGGGCACCTCCCTTTAAAACACGTAAAATAAAAGCAGGGGGAAAATTTGGGCATTGAAATAAATTTCCCAGCTAAAATCCTTTAAAAAGGGGCACTGCAAGAGTTTTTAATTTCTTGTCATTTACCGTAAAAAAAATTTTTCCCATAAATATTCTGGGTCATAAACAACTTTTTCTAGATATATGATTATTAAATTTTCAGTTTCATGTTGATACCTTTAAAAATTGTGTAAGAAAGGGGGCTACAACAAAGTTTTTTTGCGGGAAAGAAAAGGGCGACACATGGACTATATTTGCTTGCCTTTTTTTTAAAAGAGACAGGCTAATCCTGTTGATACCATTTAAAATATTTGAATATTGGGCAACATTACAGCTTTTCATGATATCAACAGCGACGACATAGGCGATCATAATAGATCAAAGTTTTTTTTTGTAACAGCTAAAAAAGGTTTTCGGTAACAACAATGAAAGCACTGTAGTTATAACTAGGAAGGATAGAGAAGTTCTTTCACTACGACTTTTTTTATTCTGTCCATGCGTAAACGGTAATATAGGAGTGTCTATCACCGACCATTTTCTCGTTTGTGGGTCTTCCTGACAAACTATAAGTCCACAGTACGGAACTTTTGGGCAAAAATTTTCGCGAAAATCTTGCGTACTTCTTGGACTCTTGCCAACAAGTTGTCTAACACAGACCTCCACTGAGCCTGCATGTCCCAACATTAATACATTTCCACCTGAAAAATCAACATACATATTCAATAGATATCATACAGCAAAGTAAATATATGATTTAGGTAACATTGGACAAGTAAGTCAAAACCAGATTTTGCTAGTCCTGAACTAAACGTAAAGAAACTGTATTTTTTTGGTTTTCACCAATTTAAATAACTCAAAATGAACAGATTGTGTATTAAAGAATAATGTATGATACATCACTACCTTCATGTTGATTGTTTGGCGAGTATTCTTTTCGAAGTTTCTCCTGATCGTTTGAATAATAATCTTGAATATCCTCCTCCATGTCAAACTTGGCTGTTGTGATAACTGGTTTGATAGTTAACGTCCACGTTATACCCCGTGTCCTTTCAATTCTGTTGGTGTGAAAAAACCTAGGTAATCCTAACTGGTACCCAGCCTAGCCATTCAAATATGCCTGGTTCCACTCTTATAGGAATATTTTGTTGTCCCATACCTTTAGAGATATTAAGATTTATTCGCATTTTAACTAAAATAATCCTGGTTCCAACATTCAAACGAGTGTTTTGTTGTCAATACTTTTCTTATATCTTCAATGTATTAAACTTAATTACACAAAACCTTTGATCAAAGCTTAAAGTAATATTAGCATGAATAGGTATGGATTAGGAATCCCAAGAGTGAAATAAAAAAAGAAATTAGATAAACATTTAGTATAAGGTAAAATAGAAACAATAGGAATCCCAAATCGAAAGTCCAAAATGGCAAAATTAAAAAATGTTTCACGCCAAGTTTTGATTGAGCCTGTTTCATGTTCAAATGTTGCAGGCTCAGTTTGATTGAACCTGTTTAAAATGAATGGTACTGTTAAGTGCAAACCCGAAAGGCATGCCACCATAGTAAACCAAGTTTAATAAAAGCAGAATTCACCAAATTTAAATGTGGAATTTTGATGAAATTTTTGAATTAGAAAACATCTGCAGGTGTGTTCAATATGGCAGTAGATGTATTTTAAATTTACTCACTTCTTAGAATCTCAGTGACTGTTTGTACACATCTAAATGATGGGGCGGGCATAGACATGATGAAATACTAACACCCTTTTTGTCTTTAAAGCTTTCACCTGTCACAGGGAAACAAATAAAAACAAGTAATAAATAGTTTGAATCTTTGGTGGTTTTAAATTTTGATTTTAAAATTCTGCAAGGCCTATTTAATCGTTAACCCTGGTGGTGGTGTTGGTAGTTTTTACTCCTATCACGGCAAGTTAGCCACATTGACTTAACCAGAGTACAATTTCCACCGGCAACGTTCCAGGCAGACTGTTAAGCAAAGCATTACCAAAGTACTAGTTGGCCTTTATTTCAACAAGGAACGTGAATACTTTCCGTACCTGCAAGGACAGGAGGTACCATGAGCGAATGACTAAAGAAAGGATTTCATGATGAATCACCAACAAAAAGTGAAGCTGCACTTCCGGAATTTAAAATTTAGGTCACCTTTTATTCACATCAAACGCTCAACCTATTTAGCTGACAGGACGGCATATCCCTGTGTCTGACCAGGGTTTTATTCATTGTTGGGCCCCTGGGAAATTTTTTTATATCAAAATACCAAACAACTTTAAACTAATGACATTTCCAATTTTTAAGAAGGGAAAATTTCTGAATTAAAAAAATCCACCTGTTATGGGTTTAATAAATGATCCATTTTGTGTCAAAAAGCTAACTAACTCAATCAATTAATCTATACAAAAACTTTTTGGGAGTTGTCCGGGCTGAGTGGTTAAGTTTGTTCACTCCCAACCACTTGCCTTTTCACCGCTGTAGATGCGAGCCTTGCTAGCGTTTTCGAATTCTTTCATGTGAGAAAGCTAACCAATTAGCTTATGGTATGTCAGTGTAACTACTCAGGTGCCTATTTGTACCTGAAATAAAGCACAGAGGTAATCCCCCCACCCGGAAAAAAAGGAAAAAAGAATATGGAACTTTGAGGTGTTTAATTTATCAACATACCTGTAACAAATGCCTGGAATTTACCCAGACATGTCAGTGGGGCATCTTTAGCATAGTCCCACTGATTAGACGCTCGTTTTGGTATCTGTTTTGGCATGTTTAAATCCACAGGTGTATAATTACCTGAAAATATAAATGTATACAGTTTGGTTTAAACATATTTATTTTAGCTCGATTGTGACACAAGTTCTTGCAACTTATATTAATTCACAAAAATTCACTTAAAATTGTTATCTATTTAGGAAATAGATATCAATTCTGAGTGCAAATTTTTGTAGAATAATTTCACGAATTTTAGTTCAAATTTTGTAGTTAATTTTAAACGCCAAAGGGCCAAAAGGCCTGAGTGATTTAATTTAACAAGCAATTGAAAAGAAAAAACCCTGCATTATTAAAAAAAAATGCACTCTAGAAAAATTCTTTTTTCCATTTTTAACACGCCCAAAAAAAAAAGTAATTTTTATATAGTTGGACTTTATTTTTGGTGGTTAAATTTGTTTTCGCCTCAAAGTTTCCAATAGAAACGTTCTTTAAAGGCTGTTCCAGCGGGTTGAAAAAAACTGTTGTTAAGTCTACCGTGTGTAGAAACATTTTGAGAACAACAAATTTTAAAAAGTTGATAAAACTTTGTTTATTTTTATTTCACTCTATATTTTTCAATATAAAGTATTAATAGTGAAATAAATGTGAAATTTAACTCGTTTGCGACACTGATATAGTTTTTGATTTGATTGTTTTTACACATGCTGTTTGGCGCTACATTGTGATGTCATGTAAACAACACTTTAAACGTCTGTTCATCTTAACGGCTGAATTGAAGATATTGGTGTTCGGATTCATTTTCTAAGATAGACCATTTTCTTTCATTCTAGATAGTTTTTGACAACAACATTTAACAATTTTTTTTATATTTATCAGATCTTTTCAATCAAAATGGCGCTGTCAATGTGTCGGTTTGAAAATAAACAGGGAGGTAATAAGAACGGCAAGTGATTCGTTGTAGAATAATGCAAGCTTCCGGCCTTCTTTGTTTATGTAGAAAATTTTTTCGATAGTGTTAGAATTTTATAATTATATTGGAGGGAGTAAAAAACAAAAGCAGTTATCATTTTCAGATTATGAGATAATAATAACAAAATCATTCAGAAAACGCATACCTGCATCATCGAATATTGTGTCACAATAACTTCTCCCAAAACAGGAAGTCCATTCTCTCCGCATGACGTATCACATATAACTGACGTGGACCTAGTTCTTTCTCTTATCTACTACAGGTGGTTTCTTCTGTACCACAGGTTCTCTTTTCTCTGGGATTGGGTGATCTATTAAAAGGCCTCTATTTTCTTTGTGTGGCTTGTTTACCTATAACACAAATATCAATGAGATTTTGCCTTCTGAATTGCCAAGTGTTAATAGCATTCTTTAGTTCAAAAAGGGCCATAATTCTGTCAAAATCTATGTTAGAGTTACGGACATTAGATAGTGACCTCCTATTATGCTCTCAAATAAGTGTGTGAAGTTTCAACTCATTTCCATCATAAGTTCTGTAGATAACAACATGCACACAAAAACTTTTTTCAAAAAGTGTGGGTTTTTGAAGCCCCAGGGGAAATTTAAAAAAGCTCTTCCCCTTTTTTTAAAATTGATTTTAAAAGGGGGGGGGGTTTTGGGGAAATTTTTAAAGTTGTCTGCACTTCACAAAACATCCCAAACTCCCCATTTAATTTATTATGGGGGATTTTAAATGAATTTTGACCATAAAAAGATTAAATTTTAAAAAATTAATTTATAGTTCCCCACCCTTCCCTAAAGAAATTATAAAAAAAAAAACCAAATTACTTCAGTGGTTTTTTTTCACTTAATTGGGGAAAAAGGCCGAAGCCTCTTTATTTTTTAGAAAAATTACAATTTTGTTTTAAAATAAATTTGGGGAAAAAACAAATTTAAAGGAAAAATTTTAATTGGCAAAAGGCCTTTTATCAGAGTTTTTTATATAAGGGAGGAAAATCACTGCACTTATCTATATAAAGCAGATAATATTATGTTCTAAAACAAAATATTTTTACTTATCATATTAATGTTCATAATAAATCCAAGAAAAGTATCAACATTTTTCTTCTTAAATATTTCTTGAGAATACCTGAATGATATATACATATCTATTGTTTTGCCAATATTTGACACACTTATGGAAAATGTGCTACTGTCCAACAATCCACTTTAAAAACATCAAAATATAAACCTTTGCATAGAGGTCATCGGGATTTTTCCAGAGGGCCTCATATTCCTCCTGACCACCTGTACATGGTGGTGGCCGCACCCCGTTAGTCAGTGGGGCTGCTGCAGCTCTTCCTCTTCATTTGTTCCCATTAAATGTGATCTAAAATATATTATCAAAAACTTAATTTATTATCGAATAAAATTTCATCATAAGCATGAGTCACTTTTTTGTTATATTATGAGTATGAAAAGAAAAAGACGTGTATAATCTCCATACTGCCATTTATCCATATATCAAATTTCAATAAAAATATTTTCGGACGCAGGGTAAACCTAAAGTCCCCTCCGGTTAAACCGGTAGGCGACTAATAATTACTTGAGATAGCATAATACTCTTTTTATATAAGAAACCTGCAATAGAAGTTTTTTGTATTTTGTTTGGGCTTTTTTTTTAAATTGACTTACTCATGCAGTGCCCATGTCCAAGTTTCAGCCGTTCTCTCTGTGAATGGTCCAGGGAACATTCCTTGTTGTCCAGTAAGCCAGGATGTTCCGTTATACCATTTATCCGTACTTCTAGTGCTCTCATTCATATCCATGAACACGTAGTCTCCCATTATCAAGTCTAGCTCATCCTCAAGTGAACCTTTGTAAGCCTGCTTCACTTTCCTTACCTAGAAATTTGAGTATTTATCTTAGTGTATACAAGATTTCATCAGAAAAATTGAGAAAATGTAGTTCTTTAAAGGGACTACACTGGAGTTTTTTGACGTGACAGGACTGGAAATAATTTTTGAGTAAGTGTTCCCTTTTGATGTAGATCTAGACCAATAACTTGTGTGCAAATTTTTCAGATTATTTGCTCACTCTGTTTTTCCAGAATAATTATTTTTATCGTGAAAAATGACCAACACTGGGAAAAGCGTTGCAATGCTTTCACTCGAATAGGGATAACAATAGCACAAAATATGATTTTCAATTTATTTCTCAGTATAGTTTTAAGTTATCATTTGCATATTTCTGTTTTAATTGCCCCAGTTGATCTAAGAAAGATTTGGAATTTTTGTGTTTGTAGGCTTTTGGACCTCAGTCAGCAGGAGTTCCTTTAAGAACTCTTATAATGTCAAATTTAGAATTGTTGCACGATGTACTTGTCTCAGCCTATTCATAAATAAGCACAAGGTCACAATAAACAAGATTCAAAAATGAATATGTAAAAGTTTACAATTTATCACTGTTCTACAATTTTTACAGTTAACTAAAAACATTTTAGGAACTTTTCATAAGACTCACATTTTCTCAGTATTTTTGTTATTATAACAAACCAAATTACTGCTCCACAACACTTACCTTCACTTTTCCAAATTTTACAATGGCCCGAATATCCCCCAAAGTTCCCCCAAACACAAAATTTTGCCCCGGGTCTTTCCCCAATTTTCCCTACTAGGGTCCCAAAAGAAAAACCCAAAAATCCTAACCAACAAATTTTGCCCTGATCCCTTTCCTCACTTTTTTTTCCCAAATTTTAGGATCTTTTAGACAACAAGTTTTCCCCCAAACAATTCTTTCTCTGAAACTTATCTCCAAAAAAAAAATTTTTTTTTTTTTCCCCAAATTTTAGGATTCATAGATTTTGCTCCGGAGTTCCTACACACAATTCTGCCCTGACCTTACCTCAATTTTCCCTATTCTAGGATCCCTAGAGAACACCCCAAGATCCTAACCACAATTCTGCCCTGATCTTACCTCACTTTTCCAAATTCTATGATCTCTATAGTAAGCCCTGAGTTCCCACATACAATCTGCCTTGATCTAACCTCACTTTTCCCAGTTCTAGTATCCCTTTTGTAAGCTCTGAGTTCCAACACACATTCTGCCCGTATCTTACCACACCTTTCCCAATTCTTTTTGTTTTCACAAGATTTTGCCCTAATTTTACCTCACTTTTCCCACTTCTTGGATCCCTACAGTAAGCCCTGAGTTCCCACACACATTCTGCCCTGATCTTACATCACTTTTCCCACTTCTTGGATCCCTAGAGTAAGCCCTGAGTTCCCACACACATTCTGTCCTGATCTTACCTCACTTTTCCCAATTCTAGGATCCCTAGAGTATGCCCTGAGTTCCCACACACATTCAGCCCTGAGATCAATCTGTTTAGCTAAACTAGTTAATTTATCATGCTGCTCCCCAGAATACTGGTATGCCAATGTTATATGTAGCTGCTTTTTTGGTGGTTCTACATCTATACCTGTATGATAACAGACTAATTTTAATTGTTGAGAGAAAATTATTTACATAACATAGAGAAAAACAAAATTCCTAAAAAATGCCCAAATCTACAAAATTGAAAATGTAATAGGTTCTGTTTGATTGAGCCTGTTCATGAAGGCACTGGAAAATGCACGTTACCTCCCTAGCACCGGCTTAAGCAGAATAAACCATTTCAAAATTCTTAACTTTTGCTGTATTGAAACAGGCCAGTCAACAAATGTGTAGGTCCTCTTTGCAGACTAGCTCCCATTAAATATCAGTTTACCCAGAAAAATTGTAGAGAAAACACTTAGATAAAGGAACAAAGCAGTGACTATATAGCACCTGAAAATCATTGTCGGGAACCATTAGAAAATATCTGCATACTGATTGGTTTAAACATTATTTAGCTTGATTGCCAAATAAGTTTCTTGCCACTTTAATCACTGTGGAGTCCATTTGCTAGAACCAACCAGTATGGTATCATATGAAGTTTTTAAGAAAAATCATTAAACTTTATTAAAAAGGGTACAGAATGATATATGTCCAAATTGTGTGGATCACATGTAGCTGTCAATGGTGTCAATTTCATACAAGAGCATTTTTATGTACCCTCTTTCAATACCCAGTGATGCGAAAAAAATATTTTTTTGATTCAATGTAGAATGGAACTTGATTCAGGTAACAATGAATTTTCCTATGAAGAAAGAGCAATGGCAACTTTTGTCAAACAAATTATTACTTAATACTTACCTACAGTTGCTAGGTAACACCTACGGTTGCTAGGTAACACCTACAGTTGCTAGGTTACACCTACAGTTGCTAGGTAACACCTACAGTCGCTAGGTTACACCTACAGTTGCTAGGTAACACTTACAGTTGCTAGGTAACACCTACAGTTGCTAGGTTACACCTACAGTTGCTAGGTTACACCTACAGTTGCTAGGTAACACACTTACAGTTGCTAGGTAACACCTACGGTTGCTAGGTAACACCTACAGTTGCTAGGTTACAAACCTACAGTTGCTAGGTTTACACCTACAGTTGCTAGGTAACACTTACAGTTGCTAGGTAACCACCTACAGTTGCTAGGTAACACCTACAGTTGCTAGGTAACACCTACAGTTGCTAGGTTTAAACCTACAGTTGCTAGGTAACACCTACAGTTGCTAGGTAACACCTACAGTTGCTATGCAACACTTACAGTTGCTAGGTAAACACCTACAGTTGCTAGGTAACACCTACAGTTGCTAGGTAACACCTACAGTTTGCTAGGTTTACACCTAACAGTTGCTAGGTAACACCTAAGGGTGTTAAGAGTAACAGATTAAAACCTTGACCATTATGCCTTGCAATCTTTAGCAAAGATTTTTGACTAGCTCTGACAAATATCTGTAATAGTCATCCTGTACAAAAAGTCCAATAAAATTTGAGTCTGACTAAAGAAGTCCAGTTTTAACGGGCCTGGGGTATTCAACAAATAGTGCTCTATGTTTTTCATGGCTTCCTTCACAACATGGGTCTTGCTGTTTTCGACCTGTAAGTAAAACAATTACTGTTTTTAAAGTCCACTCGATGAAATAAAATTTCATCTTACACACAAACAAATATCCTCTATATAATATACAATATAAATTATTCCAAACCTTGCTGGACCTACCTCGTCTTTGCCAAATATGTGCCGTCAAACCAAGTGCCATGCTGTTGGCTGACCAACATCAAATTTTCATAATTATTTTCTCCAAATTTAATGATGGACACTTCTACAATTGATTGATAATCCTTTAATATGGCTTTTAAACATGACTAAATACAAGGAACTAGAAATTACTAGTACTAGGAATTGTAGGAAAATCTATTTTTAGCATCAGTGACCTTGACCCAATTACCCAGAAAACCCACCTGAATCATAAGACAGATAAAAAAATTAAAGTCTTGAATTAAGCAAAGCATTTGTTGTTGTTAAATCCAGAATTGTACAGTACATGTGTATTTTATAAACTGATACAGAATTAAACTTCAACAATAAATAATCAATAACACCTTTATTTTCATTTTATAAATATATCAATCAATCACACAGGTTTTTCAAGTTTACTTCTATTCATATAAGCTTTCCTTTAATATATAAATGTGAAATCATCAATTATGTTTTTGACATACAGATATACTGAACCAAAAAAGACACTTTTGCAAAGTATGTGCCTGTTCAAGGGTACCACGTAGATGTACACACTTATATACATGTAGTAGCTTGTAAAACTCGTTTTGTTTGAAAAATCGGTCAGCTAATCCCCGTATAAAAGCCTGATATGTTTATTCAATGTAAAAATCGAGTTTCAAAAGGATTGAAAAACTGTACTAACATATCTACATTCAAACTTGGAGAAAATTTCTTTTTTGTTTCAGTATATATACATTTACATGAAGAGAAAAACAAGTTGTGCCTGCAGCAAATTAAACAATCATTACAAATAATCTATTAAGTAAAAAAAACAGCATTTAAGAAGTACAAGTTTTCTTAATCACTTCAATTGTCTATGTATCTTTAATCAATAAAAATACATTTAAATGTTAATAAAGTAGAAATCTGTAGGTGGCTTTCTTCAATCAAACACAATCAAACAACTTCAGCATTTATATATCTCAAGTGTTTGTTTATAATATATCATTTTAACAATATAAATAAACCAAGCAAATTTTATTCAAATTCAAATGAGTTATAAGTTTAATACTACCATGATGGCGCTCATTTTACATAATTTTGGAGACAAAATTTGACACATCTCAAAAAAGTAAATATTTTTTACTGATTTTTGAAAAAAGAACCTCCCAAATTTATTCAGTTTTAATTCTACCTGCCTATACTTGCCAAAAGCAGGAGACCTTTAACAAAATCCTAATGAAACTTGCTTTTTGGAACATGAAACAATTTTGTAATACTTAACATCATGTGAATTTGTATATATGTGCACCAAAAATTACTTAAATTCCCCCTGCAAGAGAAAATGAAAATTCCCCCTCCTACAGGTACAGGTAAAGTTCCTAGAACAGAGAAAAAGCCTCAAGTCAACTACAATTAACCCATTACTTCATATACACGCCTTTTAACGCCTTTTTTACCCCCCCCCCCCTCTTTGTTGTCTCAAATGATGAAAAATGCCTTATTTAGGCCCCAAACACTTGTTTTTGTTTGAGAAATGTTGTTAAAAAAGTGACCTCTTTTTCGGCGCGGCCCCCCAAACAAAAGATACATCAGGGGGTTGCCAGAAGGGAGATGTGCCCCCTTCTGTTTGGGGGGTTTGAAGGGGGGCGGAGTCCCCCTCATCGCCAAGAAAAATTTTGGACTTGTGAGAGGCTGTAAATGACCCCAGATTGATCATAAGGTAACGTGTAACCAACGCTGAAAAGCATTTGACTCTATCTCAATCCATTGAGAAAGTGCAGCACTTTGAAATCAATTTTGATGGAAAAAATCAACGCAAAATAGTGATTTTTGGCAATTTTGAGATGTCCCCTCGTTGCCATGGTAACAGAAAATTTAAGCCTGAGCATGTTGTTGCAAGTGCAATGGTCCAGTCAACATTTGTGCCAAGTTTGATTAGTGTTGAAGCAGTTTTTATAGTATTATAGCAATTTGAACTTGTAACGGGAGACTTTTCAATGAAAACAGCCATTTTTCACAAAATGCTCATGAAGTAATGGGTTAATGAAAAAAATAAAAAAATCTACAAAACAACAATTTTTCTTCAAATTTATATGACAGGCCATGTTTAAACATGAAAAAACGCGATTTAGGGTAATTTCAAGTATTTTTATCATTTTCATTTAACCCATTCCTTCATATACACGCCTTTTAACGCCTTTTTTACCCCCCCCCCCCCTCTTTGTTGTCTCAAATGATGAAAAATGCCTTATTTAGGCCCCAAACACTTGTTTTTGTTTGAGAAATGTTGTTAAAAAAGTGACCTCTTTTTCGGCGCGGCCCCCCAAACAAAAGATACATCAGGGGGTTGCCAGAAGGGAGATGTGCCCCCTTCTGTTTGGGGGGTTTGAAGGGGGGCGGAGTCCCCCTCATCGCCAAGAAAAATTTTGGACTTGTGAGAGGCTGTAAATGACCCCAGATTGATCATAAGGTAACGTGTAACCAACGCTGAAAAGCATTTGACTCTATCTCAATCCATTGAGAAAGTGCAGCACTTTGAAATCAATTTTGATGGAAAAAATCAACGCAAAATAGTGATTTTTGGCAATTTTGAGATGTCCCCTCGTTGCCATGGTAACAGAAAATTTAAGCCTGAGCATGTTGTTGCAAGTGCAATGGTCCAGTCAACATTTGTGCCAAGTTTGATTAGTGTTGAAGCAGTTTTTATAGTATTATAGCAATTTGAACTTGTAACGGGAGACTTTTCAATGAAAACAGCCATTTTTCACAAAATGCTCATGAAGTAATGGGTTAATTCAATGATACATACAATTAATCTGTGGTTTTATACAATATACATATCAAGCAGTAAACATCACCTCTATGAATGCTAGTTTCTTGTTTTTATTTTTGTTGGGTTTAACGTCTTACCAAAACAGTATATATATATATTATGCCATATGGCAACTTTAGCTATACGGGTGAGGAAGACCTTAAGAAGCACGCTTTTTGTAGTATTTCAGCTGAGTAAAACCATTAACATTCTGCAGCAGTGAGTGGTTGAAGTCAACATCCTTAACCACTCAGCCAGGGATGCCCCTACTTGAATGCTAGTAAAAGATTGATTCCTCTATGCCTTCACCTGCAAAATTTTTACTGTTTGCTGCTATTCTTAACTTTTACTATTGAAATCCCTTCTAGTTATAACGGATAGTTCCATATTCAAAGCAGAGCAAACCCATTTTACAAATCTATTTATAGCAAGTTATTGTCCAGATCATTTAAAGTTGATAACTTCAGAGTACAACATGTATGTAAATATATGGACATATAATATCCCCTCTTTCCCCCGGGCTCCATAGCTATAGTTTGTTTTGGGTTTTACGTCACATCAACACATTATAGGTTATATTGCAACGTTCCAGGAAGACCTCAGGTGCCCTTCTGTGCATTATTTCAGGCATGAACGGGCACCTGAGTAGAACCACCGATGTTCCGCAAGCTAGCTGGATTGCTTCCTCACATGAAAGAATCCAAAGTCCCTGTTGGGATTTGAACCCACAGCGGTGAGGGGCAAGTGGTTTGAAGTCAACGACCTTAACCACTCAGCCACGGAGGCCCCTCCATAGCTATAGAGAAAATGAATATAAACAACAGTCCCTTAAGATGATAGCTGAAACTGTCCAAGTTATTAAAAATTTATTTCTTCAGAGTACATGTATGTAAAACTAAAAAGAATGAATTCTGAATATATCAAAAAGATGGAATTCTGAATATATCTATTTACTCATTTTTCCCCTATAAATTAATTATAGGGAAAATGAATATAGATATAAGTCCCCTATGATGACAATGATCTTTAAAATAACTTACATTAAAGAATGGACATAGTGTAATATGGGGGAAGTAAGAGTGCGATCCGTTCCAGCCGCATGTTTTCAAAGAGTCATTGTAAAACTTCATCATTTGTTCCTGCAGCGGGCCCACTGGGCACAGGTAGAGTACATACTGCCGCGGGGTCAGAGAATCAATATCCGGGTCATTTACATGCGACAACAACCTGAAATAAATAAATTGGGAATCACTCAGTGAAATTGTTTTCAGTAACTATGAAACAAATGTTGTCAAGCATTTATGCTACTTAATTTCTATAGAAATTATAAAACAACGCAAAATGCAACAAATGGCCATAAATTTAACAGTAATATTGTTTTGTATCATAGTTTGGGGACCTTTCTGTTAAAAATGTGTCAGAGTTAAATCGTATACATATACATGCACAGTGCTTTAACTGGAGTGCAGGTATTAGTTACCCGCAATCCAGAGCGTGCGCATTATGATTGGTTCATTTTGTACGGGGTTTACATATAATGTGACGACAGAGCAAGGAATAGTGATGGAAATATCATATTCAGATGCTCGTTCATTGGTTACTTTTTTGTGGGGTTTCATTTTGTGGTATCAGGGAACGTGTTTTTATGTTTGACTATGATAAAAAAGAGAAAGAACATCAAAACACTCAGCAATCTGATTTATACTCGGGGGCTATGCCCCCTCGTACCAATCAGATAGCCTCATGTTTCGATGCTCTTTCTATTACTTATTAAACGAGTTCAATAAATGAAGTATTGAATCTACATTAATACATATTCTTTTTATAACACATGTTAAATAAGAATGGTTAACAGATAAAAGAGCCATTTGTTTTGTTACTGGTATGCCAATTTCAGTGAGCTTTCAAACAATGTTTTTATATTTTGCAAATAACGTCACATCAAAGTACTATTTCACAAGTATAATATTATACAAATATGGACTTTTTAGCTGTTGAATATGGTGTTATATGTACTGAAAATTAATATTGACCGAGGCAATAGCTGAATTCAATATTTATTTTTCAGTACATATCACATCATATTCAACAGCTAAAAAATACATATCTGTTTTATTATATAATTTATAAACAGCTTTTATATGGCTTATCACATCTGACATTGCATATGACAGAAATCATTATTTTTCAGCTTGTCTACTGTTTCCATAATTTGGCCCTTTCCATTGGCATGCTAATCCCTATGGTTCTAAAAAATGTAAAACGGTAACTAAAATATACTTATTTGACTCTTATGTACACCCCACTCAACGTTTTTTTTAGAATAATAACAATAAACTTGGCATGACATCACGTCATAGTCTAGCGTCGTTTAGAGATTTCCAGAATATCTATTTTTAGAAGAAAAACCGGTGAATATACTCTAAAAATCTATTTTTAGGAAAAAACAGTGAATATACTCTCATATTGACTAGTTATTTTTTACAAAAATTTGCTTGTTAGCCAATCAGGGAAAGGCATTTCAAAGCTATTTATAGATTGTATAGAGGATATTTGTTTAGTTCAGTGTAAGATCGGAATATATTTCACCGAGTGAGCACCAAAAGGAATATTTCACGAGTGGCGCAGCCACGAGTGAAATATGAACTTTTGGTGTTCACAAGGTGAAATATATTTCGATCTTACACTAAACTAAACAAATTTTCTTTTTATTATATGCAAAGAAACGTTTTAAAAAGACATTTAACCTAATACTGAATGAAAAGCGCGCCAAATAATAATACAACGTGACGTCATTTACGACGTCACGTCATTAAGTTGGTACCCAGTACTGTGCACGCTGGTATTACACTGAAACAACGTAAGGGGCTTAAATTCAAAACAGTGAAATTATCAAAGTGGTAATTTCACTGTTTCAAACAGTGAAATTACCAGTTTTATATCACTGATATATTTCTATAAACCACCGAAAAGCATGTAATAAATAATAATATATTTATTTCTAAATATGGTTACTACACTCCTTTGCTGCAATTTATGTGATAAATCCTAATTATCAAACAAATCTGCAAAATCAAACAAAACCACATACCGTATTAATTAAACAAATCGTAATTATTCAAACAAATTCCAATTAATCTAATAAATCCCAATTATCAAATAAATCCTTGTTGAATACCACATTTTACCCAGTGAGTCTAACCATCCCATTGAAAGTAAAACTCCTCCCCGATTAAGGCGAAGGATAGAAGTTGACCAGCAGAAAAACTAAATACATGTACTTATGTTTATATTAAACGCTGACAAATACATATAACTTTAAACCGTATCATTTATTCTTTAAAGAAACAATTTAGTATATTTACACAAAGATATGTTATGACAATGAATTGGATAGGAAATAAAACAACATTTATAAGTTTCTGATTACATGAATTTATTATTATTTTTATTAATTTTTATCATTAATTTAATATTATCACTATTATTTTTATAGAAACGGCTAAAGTTGTACATATGGCAAATACGCCGAAAATAACAGGGACGGCATAAGCTGTCGCTATGGCAGTGAAAGGGATAATGAAGAAAAAGCACCTCACTTCTTGTCTGTATGTATTAAGTACTGGTGTACTTTATTTTCTGAGATGTTGTTAGTTTTGCTCAGAAACATCTCTAAATACATACATCTACATACATCTTATTCCAATAAACCACGTAAATTACTATGAGGTTATATTTTTATGTAAATTATTTAAAATATTTAAGCTGCTTTCTCAACTCAAACTACTCCCATAAATCAACAATTTTGTTCATGATTTCCTTATACAAACTGACATGCTTTTATTACCTTTTGCAAAAAAATTCAACCGTTTTTCCTTAAGGAAAACCATTGGGTACTTTCCCCTAACAATTATTTAATACCTCTGCATGCATTATACAACAAACTGTCAGATTCCCATTCTCATTTACAATGCATACTTGTGCAGGTTCAATCCACATACAAGTAGTAGTTATACAGGCTTTATTTTCTAAACATGAATTTTTACAATGGCATGTTAATGGTATCAGCATGTGGGAAATTAAAGTGTTAAAACGTCTTCCTGTTTAAGAAGTAAATAATAGCAGAATGATATACATATCACTTAACAATAATTAACTCTTACCTCGCTAATTATCTTAAATCGAGATATCTCACAGTCTCCGAGTCTGGATCATTAAAAGGAAATGATTTTAGATGATGGGTTGTACTTTAAACCTAGCTTTATTTCAATATATTCAAATTAAAACAATAGGGGAATTTTAATTATCTTTGTTATAGGAAGAAGAAGAAGGAAAATAAAAGTTGTTACAAAATGTAATTATGCCCTAAATCCTTGATGTTGTGAGAAAAATAAATCAATATCAACATAGACATGCAATCTAACCACATCTTGATGTTCAACCAGCAAATCAGTTATATCTCTTATTTAAGTAGTTTCCTATACTGGCTATAACAGCAACTCAAAAAGTAGCACATTGTTCATCAATTCTGCAGCCCCCCCCCCCCCCCCCCGCCCGTTTCTTTTTTCACTGAATTAGGAAGAAGTCTGAGCATCTTGATTTTGGGAAAAATCATCATTAAAATTGCTATTTTTGGAAATAAAAAAGCTGGTGTAAGTTCAGAGTTATGGGAAAGCTGCATGATTTTGTAGAAAATTCCAATTTGGAAAAGGCCTTTTATAGCCCTCTATTACATAAGGTGAAAAATCAATGCCCCGAAACATTTGCTACAATAATATTATGATTCTCTTTATATATCATTGAAAGTTAAAGAAAATTCTTTCCACTGCTATCTAAGTTTGAATTTCCTTTCTTTATCCACCAGTTTGTAAAAAAAAAAAATGGAGAAATTTTATGAAACATGTTTGATTCTCATTAAGATACAATGTATGCGAATCGAGTCACCCAGGGTTTAAACCCTGTCACAGGCAAGTCATTGTTTCCTTGAGCATGAAACTTTACACACATTGCTCAGTACTTTAGGTTCCAGGAAAAGGTTTGAGGGAGTGTTTATATCAGCTTATAACTTCCTTCATGATCACCCGTAAACAAATTATGTATATACTATAACATTCCATTTACTTTCACCAAGTCAAAAACATTCGCAATTGTATTGTTGCTAAGGTAATATGCATGTGTTACAAACAGCATGTATTTCAATTACGTGACTTCATTTCATCATTATTATTTCACATAAAATTCCCAAGGTTATGTGGCATGCAAAAATTCTAAAACTCAAGGAAAGTGATCTATATTTCAATATAGAATAGATGTATATACTTTTAGACAATTTCATGTTTTAACAAACATGATTAAATGATGAGCAGTCACATATGAGCTGCGTCATGACAAAACCAACATAATGGGTTTGCGACCAGCATGGATCCAGACCAGCCTGCCCATACCGGGTATGAGCTAGAGGAAATTTTAAAAAAATATACTTTGCTTACCAATCTGATGCCAGATTTACTCCTTTGTCTCCGGTTGCAGCAATAGCTTTCTCTCTGAAATATATAATCAATTACCTTTAATTTTGAAATCAGTTACTCTTTTTATTCTTCAAGAGCTCCAGCTAGATGTAGATTCTAAAAACTAAAAAAAAAATCAGATAAGGAACAATCAGAAACGCATGTTAACCTTTATCTTAGAGGATGGAATAAAAAGTAAAGAGCTTAAAATTGTTTCAAATCCAGTTGAAAGTTTCACACTAGTTGACTGTAAACCAGGCACTGTTTTATTTTTGACAATCAGCCCTGAAGCAAAAAAAAAACCCAAAGAAATGGCCATGCCACACAGGAGGAGTCACACTCACAAACAAGAGGGCCATGATGACCATGAAATCGCTCACCTGTATATAGGCCCCTGGGCCAATTTTAAACCAGGAGCTTTTATTTGAACAAACTTGGTAAACACCCATTAGAAGATGTTTCATGATAAATATCTAAGCTCTAGCTCTTTGGGGTTTTTACAAGAAGATTTTTTAAGTTTTAACTATATATATATTGGGAAAAACAATGACCCCCCTCAGAGGGGCCAATTTGACCTCAGGGCTTTTATTTGAACAAACTTGGTTAACCCTCACTAGAAGATATTTCATGCTTAGTATCTAAACTCTAGCTGTTTGCATTTTTTTATAAGAAGATTTTTAAGTTTTAACTATACACAAATAAGGAAAATCTATGACCCCTGGGGCGGGGCTAATTTTCACCCAAAAGCCCTTATTTGAACAAACTTGGTAGACATCCATTATAAGATGTTTCATGCTAAATATCTTAGCTCTAGCTCTTTGTGCTTTTTAAAAGAAGATTTTTTAAGTTTTTACTATAATCATAAAGGGAAAAACAATGACCCCGGGGCAGGCCAATTTTTACCCTTAGGCATTTATTTCAACATCCTTGGTAGACAGCCACTAGAAGATGTTTCATGTTTAATATCTAATCTCTAGCTAATTTGGTTTTTTAAAAGAGGATTTTTTAATTTTTTACTATAATCAATGACCCCCAGGAGCGGGCCAATTTTGATACCAGGGCATTTATTTGAACAAACTTGGTAGACACTGACTAGATGATGTTTCATGCCATATATTAAAGCTTTATCTCTTTCGTTTTTTTTAAAAGAAGATATTATAAGTTTTTATTCTTTCGGTTGCCATGGCAACCAGAGTGCTTGGAATTAAATTCTTTGAATAATTTCTATAGTTGACTACCAAAGGAACATTCGTGGGAAGTTTGGATGAAATTGGCCCAGCAGTTTATGAGGAGATGTCGTTTAAAGTAAAAGTTTACGGACGGATGCACGCCGGACGAAAAGCGATCACAAAAGCTCATCATGTCACTTTGTGACAGGTGAGCTAAAAAGGTAATGAGTTGCAAGGTCAATCAGTAAATGTCAGGCACCACCCAGCAAGTGGACATATCCCACCAATTAAGGCAAAACCATCACAATGAAAAAGAAGAAATTGTAGGACTGATATGCAGGCAGTTCTCTAAGGGTGCCATGTTTATCTGTTAAAAAACGGGTATGGTCCGTTTAAAAAATAAAAACCTGTTTATAGAAATGTCAGCAATCGGTATTAGTATTTGACAAAGAGGCAAACTCTTAAATTGATTCTAAATATTACCTAATTTTTCATAACATGATATGACAAAATGTTTGTATATCAGTTCTACTCAAAGATGTATTTTTCCTATTTGATCAAGTACAGTACAACCTGAATCGAAAATTGTTATTCCATATTTGGACATGTATTATAATCAATTTGAGTTCAACAAAGTGCGAACAAAATGTCACATCTTGGCATTAATATTGAAAATCTAAGGATTTTATTTTATTATCATGGTTGGTTAAAAGTAGTTGCGCATATTTTAAGCAGATTACGCATTTTTTTTAATGAAGTCAATGCGCACCAAACCGCACATCTGACGATGTTTTTTAACTTAATTCAGTTTATCTTCATTGTATCTTGAATGAGGTTGAATGCTTCAGCCATGTTTGTTTTCACTTGTGGTAATGACTAAAATACATACTAAATCGGGTGTAGCAGCCGACTGGATCATTTTGCGTATATTTTGCGGTACAAGTCAACCCGGCCCCAAGTCAACCCGGCCTCAAGTCAGCCCGGCCCCAAATTGGTCAACCCGGCCCCAAACCAATGTTATTTCTGGTCAACCCGGCCCCATTTTTTTAAATTACTTTTTTGCTTTAAAATATAAACACTTATCAAGAAATAAATAAAAATTAACAACAAAAGTTTAACGGTGATATTTTTTATTATTTATTTTATATATTTTATATAAAAACTATCAATATTAACAAACAAGCAACACATGCATAGTTTACTGTTTTTACCGTCGCGAAAATAAGGTGACGTCTGTCTTCAACCTTAACCCTTCTACGATAGAAGTATTAAGAAACAAGAGCTGTCCGTAAGACAGCGCGCTCGACTTTTTTATTGCTTGCCAATAAAAAAAGTTTTTGCAGTAAAAGGCAATACAAGAATCTCTGTATTTTTAAAGTGAACAATGGCCATGAGCAAATCCTTGACAGAGTTACCTTCTCTTGCGTACAGATGGGGGTAATGATGTGAAATAGCATTAAAAGTTTCAAAGCAATATCTCAAAGGGTTAAGGCAATAAGTGGATTTTACCCATATTCAATGTATTTTCTAAGTCAAAAAGGGGCATAATTCTGTCAAAAACCTTGACAGAGTTATGTCCTCTTGTCTGTTGATGAAGGTCGTGATGGTAAACAAGTATGGTCAGTTTCAAAGCAATACCTCCAATGGTTTTGAAATAAAGTGAGGTGGTACAAAAAACTTAACCAAGCTCAATACACTTTCTAAGTCAAAAAAGGGCCATAATTCTGTCAAAAACCTTGACAGAGTTATGTACTCTTGTCTGTAGATGGAGGTTATGATGGTGAACAAGTATGGTAAGTTTCAAAGCCATACTTGTAATACTTCTGAAATAAAGTGGGGTGGTACGAAAAACTTAACCAAGGTGTGACGCCAACGCCGACGCCGACGCCGGGGCGAGTAGGATAGCTCCCCTTTTCATAGAAAAGTCGAGCTAAAAACTAAACTTTTTTCTTGACAAATCATGGAAAAGAAACCTTAATGTGTTCAAATCTGACATTACTATGTTATTGTTTGTTAAAAAAAGAAATGACCAAAAGCACACTAAAGTGTTTCCATTAACAGTTTTTAAGTAAGATATCCACAATCAATACAGTTATCAGTCATAATGACATAAAATGATTAAACACAAAACACTATCAATTTTTCAAACACTTAGTAATATTCCAATACTTTTTTACACAGTAAATATTCTTTGAAAATAAGTTAATAAAATACGAAACAAATATTAATTATACCGATGAACGTATTCAATAAAAACATTCAAATGAACTGAAAAAAGATTGTTGTAAACTTAATTAATACAAACCTTTTAACTCGAAATTCTATGCATTTCTTCCTAATTATCGCATTAAAACTTATGAAACCATCTTTAATTTACATCAAATTTAAAGGATTTGTTTTCACAGCTATACCTTTTTTGTTAATTGATTGCTTTAAACTGTTTCATTATCACATCTGAAATAATGTTAAGTTACATATAATTGTTGATGTTATATAATTATTTATTATCACCATTGCGTATTAAAGTCTTAATCGGCGCAATTAAATTTACCTACACTTTTATGCCAATTCGCGTTTTTTTACTATTGTTCTATAGTTAATAATATTCAATTAACAATTTCATTCCATCATACAACAAAATGACCTGAAGAGTTTTCTTTGAAAAATACATATTTTGGGGCCGGAATGGCCGATTTTGGGGCCGCACTGACCAATTTTGGGGCCGCATTGACCAAATAAAAATACTGTGGGGCCGGATTGACCAATTTTGGGGCCGGGTTGACCAATTTTGAGGCCGGGTTGACTTGGGGCCGGGTTAACTTGGGGCCGGGTTGACTGTAATTCTATATTTTGTAGTATTTGTCAATACAGTCAAAACTGCCATAGTGACCCACTGTATTCAGCGACTTCCTGTCTTATGTGACCCTATTTGGGTCCGCCCAACGATTTTGGCTATATAGCTGCACTGTATTAAACGACTCACTGTGTTACGTGACTAGCGACCGTGATTTGAACGGTCCGGAACGGGCTAAGCACTGTTTTTAGCGACTTTGTTATGAAAGATAACTCTGATTCTACTTCCTGTATCATTGAAAAAAAATGTCGGAAAGAAATATGAAGCCTTACAAAAATTGGATAAAGGAATATCGGCGTATAAAGTGGCAGAAGAACTTTTTGTTGAAAAAACACAAATCCAAAACCTTTGTTTACGTAAATAGGAAGTAATTTCGGACTTTGAAAATAATGTTCGAGAAAATCAATGACTTAACTTAGATTCTGATGACAGTGAAGATGAAATTGAGAAATGTATGACGCTCAAGGGTCTGTCATGCTAAATGCTCCATCACTGACCCAAGCAAATGAAATGGTGTTACAACTGAAATCTTATGCATTGCATCATGGACATGCCAGTATAATGTAGCATCATTCTGTCAAAACTAGAGGTCTAGTTGCAAGCAAAAATAAACAGTAAAAAATAAGTGATTTTTTCAATAGGACAACTTAAATGAAAGACACAATGTGATTCTGACATTATTTTATTAGTTTCATAATCATGAATTTTAAATATCAATAACATTGTACATGTATAAATTTTTAACACGGTAAAGAAACAATATAATTATGACATTTTAATAATTTTATTAAATATATGAACATTAATTTTTAATAATCAATTTTACAATCAAATATTCAATAGCATTTTACATGTATACAATTTTAACACTGTACACACTTATACTGCTCTTATCATAAATAAATGTATTAACACTAAATGTATATGCTGTATTAGTATTATTTAACTTTTTAATAGTGTTTGGATGTTTTATTGTAAACCTGTATTAAGAGACTCACTGTCTTATGTGACCTTCTTAAGAAAGTCCCCTGTAGGGTCACATAAGACAGTTTTGACTGTATTTTATTTTTTCTATTTCTGTTGTTGAGCAGACGATAGCTGTCAAAAATGCCTTAACATAAAATGAATTCTTGACGGTACTTCATATTGTAAGATAAATGTATGTCCCCCTATTTTTCCAAATCTCCCACATTTTTCAGTTGAGTGCGGGACAATCCCCATAATTTTGAAATTCTAGATGCAACACAGGTAAAAAGTTAAATAAGGTTGCCGTTTAAACGGGTACCTTTCTTTCTAACCATGACACACCTACAGTTCTCCTCCAAAATAGGGTGAAACATGAGGGGAGAAACTGGTAAGGTTGAGAATAGTTTGAATGCCTTTCATGATAAAGTAGCCTCATCATAATACATGTAGCCTGATATGTTGACTCAAACAATACTTTCATTTTTTATAAATATGTCCTCATTACCTGACTAAGCAAATCTTTAACAACTGCTTTAAATCTATAACTATACAGTAAATCAAGCAATAATTTGAAAACAAATAAAATTAAACATGTTCACCTGTTCACCACTCATCAGTGTGATTCCAATGTAAATTTGTTGTTTGAAATAATTTGGAAACTTACGCTCTATGTTTTGGAAACCCCATCAGCTGTAGAATATCAACATTTGATTTTGCGTCATCTCTTCTGATAGTGCTTGAATGTCTACGACGGGGCGGTGGTGGCTTATCCATGATTTCATACAAACAAGGAAGTCACGATTTTGTCAGTGTCCAGTAATTCTCTTAATTGAAGAGTATTTCTATTTTCCTAACGAACCCAAACAATAAAAATTACAGCGAAGAATATTAAACACCGCAAAGATTTTTTAATAACGAAATTGCTTCCACAAATTAAACATTTTAACATTGGATTAATGCAAAATATGGAAACGAACTTCTGTTTTTTTCTATTAACATGGCCCTGTTATATCAGACAAAATAACTGCTTAATTGATTTTTTTTTAAAGCAAGCACATCAAAGTGGATTGGGGAAGCCGAAAGAAGAAATCGCCTCTGGTTGGATTAAAATCCATTATGTTTACAATGCATAGGTCAGTATATGCATATTGTGAATCAAGATGAAACACCTTAATAGCATAATATCATCTAAATCAGTAAGATAATGTCCTTCATGAACATTCAGATATAATTAAATTCCTCGTCTCACAGGGTGAGAAAATTTCAACCTGGGTCCTTCCACAGACACTTGGGGTTTGGAGCTCAAAACGCCTTTAAAATCCAAATAAAATGCATATTTGTCAATCCCAGCACATGTACTGATCATATATCAAAAAAACTTAATATAAGCCGTTTTGAAAAAAATTCATATTTCAACATCTATAATAATAATGTTCTACCGACTGAGCTATTTGGGAACTTACAAATCTTCTACCCTAAATAGTGAACTGTTCTGAACCATAACATACTGCCCCCTCAAAAATGAAATTCATTCTCAAATTTTTACAGAGCCATGTGAATTAAACTCCGAGCTATATACAGTCATGGTCCCCTGTTGGGCGCTAATGTCACAGGGTGAGAAAAATGTGCAGCCTGACCAAGACTTAAACATGGGACCTTTGGAATTCTGTTCTGTGGCTCTACCGACTGAGCCATCAGATGGCTGCTTACACACTGCTTTCCCTAAATAGTGAACAGTTCTGAACTTAAGTTTTAATATGGAAAAGAAAAACTTCACCTGGATTGCATGTACCTATATCTCTCACTAATGATGCAGTTGAAAGCAAATTATTTTAACTCATCCAAATGACAGTATTTTCCCTTGTTACTTCAAACATTGGTATATTCCTGTTGTTAAGAATCAAATTTACCACTTATTAGAACTGTGCTTTTTTAGTTATATTTAAAGCAGTCTACCTAATACCAAACTTAATTTCCATTCTGTAAGTTAAGTGTATGGTGCTCTGTAAAAGGTTAACCATACAACTGTATAACTATAGGGAAATAAAAACTAAATCTTTACATTTTGTATGTTAATGTGATAATTTAAAATATATATATGAAAGACATATCATTTTATGATAAAGATTTTCATGCAAAGTTCTTCCTTACTGCTGTATATATAGCTCCTATGCTCTCAGTTTTGGTGATACAAGTGGTCACACTCATGAACAAACACTTTACCCGATATATGTTTATCTTACAGTACGACCATGAAGGCCATTATCTTCTGGGTTTGATATTACTATACCTAAGGTAAAGAAGAATAATGAAGGACAGGATTGAAATGGTGTTAAAAATGTGCTCATCATTTTTAGCACAAAAACATGCTATCAGAAATCTATACTATTTTTTAACACACAAAAACATGTTATCACAATTCTATACCATTCCTTCAATAACAATTATATCAATAAATAAGAAACAATAATTATTTTTTATACATTTATTTCTAACTAACTTAAACAATATTTTACCAATAATTCATCGTAAGCATTAATTCACTCATTACAAAAACAGATTTCAAAGACATGTCAAGTATATAACACAAATTTACTACATTATGTACTCAATATGTCACATCTTTTTATTTGTTCCTTTATCTGGTTTTTACACAACCCCCCCACATTTTTAGTCATATATTGCTGTTTGATCCATATGACCAGCTTTCCTCAATAACTAACCAGTCATTACCAATTTCTCAGCAAATTAGCAACTACTAATCCTGTATGATTTTTTTTAATCAAAACCACATCTTACAATCATTGGATTACCCATTTCTCTTTGCAAACTGAAAATCAGTATTATTTATGATACACATTTGAAAATTCTAATCTTCACAGTCTAACAGATTTCTCCTGCTTGAACACAACCTGGTGTCACTTAAAATCCAAAAATATCAGACATAAATTATCCAATTAGTTGTAACATTCTTTTAAATGAAAAAAAAAATAAAAAATAAAAAATAAACTTCGATCATTCAAGTTCAAAAATCCACATAAAATTTTCATCTTAAAACATGTAACCATCCATATGAAATTTCTATTTTCAAATATATAAATCCACATCAATTTTCAAAACAAAATTTCTATCTTTAAAAGTTAAATTCCACATGGAATTTCCATCTTCTGTTATAGTCTGAACTAACCAAGAAGCTTTCCTATTGAACACATTAATTGGTATATCAAAGGTTGACCGCAAAACTGCAGTAACTTATATGAAATAAAGGACTTACAACAGTTTTGCAAACAACCCTCGAGATATTTGAAAGCACATCAACATAGAAATACTTAATTTTCTGCGAAAATAAAATATTAGCACTTTAATGCAGCAAAAATTGCTTCAATCATGGTCCCTCCATGCAATTTGCCTCTCAAATTATCCATTCCCATCATACAGTTAGAAATTAAAGCTATTATGAAATGGGTGCTTTTTTGATTTTTCAAAAAATAAATAATAACAGTCATCTATCTGATATGTTACACAAAGCTTTCCCATCACAATAGTCAAATTGATTTCCTTTTAATTTCCCTGCTGGACAATCTAAATTTCCGTCCAATCAAAACATCTGTTATATCAGCCAATCAAAATGTCTGTTGTGATATCAATAAATTAACTAATCAGATGGCTTGTATTATCAATTGCTAAGCAGCATTCTTTCACTCTCCATCTCTTCCTGAAATAGCAAATAGGGAAAGAAACATAGGTAACAAGCAAATTCGTTGAATTTATATCCCCCGCCGAGTACTGGTCATTATTAACACAACAACTGAAGACATGAGGCTTTATTTCTATATTAATCATGGCATAAAAAGTAATATTCTTTGAACTTGATAAATATTCAGGGCAATACCAGAGCCATAACTTTGTGTTAAATAGTAATATCTGGAAATGCCGATGAGATGTATGCATACTACATAACTAATAAAGGGCCATAAATCTGAGTTATAAGTATCTGACCGGAACAAGAAGACTATATGCACATCTCCTCTTAGTATCCCATTAAGTTTCATTGAATTCCAGCCAGTAGTTACAGAGAAGTAGCACTGAAACAATTATTGCTCTGGTTGTATACTGCCTAAGTTATCAAGGGTCATAACTCTAAGTTAAAATGTCTGACCCGAACAAGGCGACAATATGCGCATCTCCTCTTGGTATTGAAGGTTCCCATAAAGTTTCATTGAATTCCAGCCAGTAGTTGCAGAGAAGTAGCGCGGTAACAATATTTGCTCTATATGCATACTGCATAACTAATCAAGGGCCATAGCTCTGAGTTTAAGTGTCTGACCGGAACAAGGCGACGATATGCGCATCTCCTCTTGATATTGAAGGTTCCCATAAAGTTTCTTTGAATACTAGGCAATAGTTGCAGAGAAGTAGTGCAGAAACAATTTTTTCTCTATATGCATACTGCATAACTAATCAAGGGCCATAACTCTGAGTTAAAGTGTCTGACCGGAACAAGGCAACGATATGCGCATCTCTTCTTGATACTGAAAATTCCAATAAAGTTTGGTTGAATTCCAGCCAGTAGTTGCAGAGAAGTAGCGCGGAAACGATTTTTACTCTATATGCATACTGCATAACTAATCAAGGGCCATAACTCTGAGTTAAAGTGTCTGACCGGAACAAGCTGAGGATATGTGCATCTCCTCTTAGTATTGAAGATTCCCATAAAGTTTCATTGAATTCCAGCCAGTAGTTGCAGAGAAGTAGCGCGGAAAGGATTTTTACTCCATATGCATACTGCATAACTAATCAAGGGCCATAACTCTGAGTTTAAGTGTCTGACCGGAACAAGCAGACGATATGCGCATCTCCTCTTGGTATTGAAGGTTCCCATAAAGTTTCTTTGAATACTAGGCAATAGTTGCAGAGAAGTAGTGCGGAAACGATTTTTACTCTATATGCATACTACATAACTTATCAAGGGCCATAACTCTGAGTTAAAGGGTCTGACCGGAACAATCTGACGATATGCGCATCTCCTCTTGATATAGATGATTCCCATAAAGTTTCGTTGAATTCCAGCCAGTAGTTGCAGAGAACTACTCCGGAAACGAAATTCGGACGGACGGATGGACAACGCCAAAACTATATCCCCCTCCCGATTCCATCGGCGGGGGATAACAAAGAGTAAATGCACATAATATGTTCATCAGTCTATATTTTTCAGTTGGTAGAGCTTTAGATCAACTGTCAAGGGTCCTTGTCTTCTACCACGAGCTGAATTAGGTGATAGTCTATAACTGATTAATGGGTAGACAATTTCTGAACAAACCTCTTTACTTCTTTTTAAAGGAGAATATGTTTAAGACATTTTTATTAAGTACTAAGTATATGTAAACTAGGTAACCCTAAGGGTGGGGGGTCATATTTTCACTCTAGGGGCATAATTTATGTAACTCTTGCAATGCTTGAGTAAAAAAACTATTCTCTTTGGCATTGTAGATTCACACAAGAAAACTTTAAATATGTAGTCCTTTATAAATCAATGTAAACTTAATGATCCCTGGGGCAAGGACATAATTTACTTACATGGAACTTTTGTAGAAAACCATAGAGTGATGCTACAAGCTAAATATCTATGCTCTAGGCATTATAGTTTCTGAGGAGAGGGTATTCAAAAGATTTCATTTCTAATGTCTATTTTCAGCACTTGTGACCTACTTGAGAATCCTGTATTTATACATTTTTTGTAGATGGCAGCCTTATGATTATTCCTGTGAAGTTTGGACAAAATCCACCTGGTAGTTTAGGAAAAGTTTAATGAAATTGTGGAATTTAACAATCAACAGACATCTTGCCATCAATAAAAGTTCAGCTATGTGCTATAAAATCTATGAATCAAAATCAAATTTTAGCATTTACAGATTAATAAATTTACTCACATGAGCAATTTTAGCTCGTTTCCGACTCCGCTCTTCTTCTTCTTCCTCAAACATCTCCTCCAATCGACGTTTGTAACTAAAATTAACATCATAAATCTCTATTAATATGATTACATATCATTTCAAAGTCCAATTACTGAATGAAACATCAATTGTCATAATCAAATTCATAGCATTGATGTATTTATCTGAAGAATAGTTCTTTATTCGTAAGAATTTTTTTTTCGTTGTCGAGTATGATATCGTTTGGCAAATGACAAAACTTTGCAATTTATTGAATATCATTTCAAACAAAGCTATAACAACCATAGCTATAACAAACTAAGACAAACACAAACAAAGCTATAGCAAACACAGCTATAACAAACAATGTTATAACAAACAGGGCTTTAACATACAGAGCTATAACAAACATGGCTACAACAAAGCTATAACAAAAAAATCTACAACAAAAATTCTATAACAAGACTACAACAAACAAGGCTATAACAAACAAAGTCATAGCGAAAGACTATAACAAAGCTATAACAAACAAATATACAACAAACAAAACTATAACAAACAAGGCTACAGCAAACAAAGCTTTAACAAACAAAGCTATAACAAACAAGGGTGCCATAGTCACAAAATACGCCCGTTTACGAAAGCTTTAGATGGAGATGGGGGCATTATGGATAAGTGTTATCTAGCAAGCAAGTTTCTATTCTTGGCACTGTGTTGTTAAATGAACCTTAAAACAAATCAGTAGGGAAGATATGCACAGGATGTGTGACCTTGACCTTGGTCGCAGGGACCTGAATTTTATGCACGGCACTCAGCCTCACAATGATGAACATTTGTGCCAAATTATATTGAAATTCCTCTATGCATGTAGAAGTTTTGCTCCAGACAAGCGTTTTTCTATGAGCTCTAACTGTGACCTTCACCTTTGACTTAGAGACTTGGTTCATGTGCAGGGCACTACGTCTCATGGTGGTGAACAATTCTATAAAGTAACTTTAAAATTCCTCCATGCATGTAGAAAATATGCTCCGGACAACATCTGGATATTTAATCATCTCCAGTGACCTTGACCTTGCAAATATTAACCTAAATTAAATGTGTCACACCTGTAGTCATGACAGTTACCATTTGTGCTACAATCCATCAATAAATGATGACTAAATGGTCCCTATACACATCTTCAAATTTTTATCTGAACTTTGACCTCTATGTGTAACCTTGACTTTGGTCACAGGGATCTGAATTTTGCGTGCGACACTCAGCCTCACAATGGTGAACATTTGTGCCAAGTTATATTGAAATCCCCCTATGAATGTAGAAGTTTTGCTCCGGACAAGCGCTTTTCAATGAGCTCTAAGTGTGACCTTGACCTTTGACCTGGATCATGCATGGAGCAATACATATCATGGTGGTGAACATTTCCATAAAGTATTATAAAAATTCTTCCATACATGTAGGAGATATGCTCCGCACAAAATCTGGATATTTCACCATCTTTAGTGACCTTGACCTTGCATATATTGACCTAAAGTACATGTGTCACAGCCATAGTCATGATAATGACCATTTGTGTTACAATCCCTCAATAAATGCTGACTAAATGGTCCATATACACATCTTCATAATTTTATCTGAACTTTGACCTCTATGTGTGACCTTGACCGCAAGGACCTGAATCTTGCGCACGACACTCCGCCTCACAATGGTGAACATTTGTGCCAAGTTATATTGAAATCCCTCTATGCATGTGGAAGGTTTGCTCCGGACAAGCGTTTTTCAATGAGCTCTAAGTGTGACCTTGACCTTTGACTTAGAGACCTAGTTCATGTGCGTGACATGGCTTCTCATAATGGTGAACATTTCTATGAAATTTCATTAAAATCCCTCCATGTGTGAAGGAGATATGCTCCGCACAAAATCTGGATATTTCATCATCTTTAGTGACCTTGACCTTGTATATATTGACCTAAATTATATGTATCACAGCCATAGTCTTGATTATGACCATTTGTGTTACAATCCCTCAATAAATGATGACTAAATGGTCCATATACACATCTTCATAATTTTATCTGAACTTTGACCTCTATGTGTGACCTTGACCTTGGCCGCAAGGACCTGAATCTTGCGTGCGACACTCCGCCTCACAATGGTGAACATTTGTGCCAAGTAATATTGAAATCCCTCTATACATGTGGAAGTTTTGCTCCGGACAAGCATTTTTCAATGAGCTCTAAGTGTGACCTTGACCTTTGACCTAGAGACCTGGTTCATGTGCGCGACACTGCTCCTCATAGTGGTGAACATTTCTATGAAGTTTCATTAAAATCCCTCCATACATGTAGGAGATATGCTCCGGACAAAATTGGACGCCGCCCGCCCGCCAGGGGCGTTCCCATAATACGTCCCGTTTTCAAACGGGCGTATAAAAACTACAACAAAGCTAACAAAAAAGGCTACAACAAACAAAGCTATAACAAACAAAGCTATAACAAACAAATCTACAACAAACAAAACTATAACAAATAAGGCTACAACAAACAAAGCTATAACAAACAAAGCTATAACAAAAAAAATCTACAACAAAGCTAACTACAACAAACAAAGCTATAACAAAGCTACAGAAAACAAGGCTATAACAGAGCTTTAACAAACAGAGTTATAACAAACAAAGCTATTACAAACAGAGCTATAACAAACAGAAAAATAACAAACATTAACTATAACAAACAGATCTTTATCAAGCAGAGCTACAACAAACAAAGCTAACTAAAACAAACAAGGCTACAACAAACAAGGCTATAACACCAATAGCTTTAACAAACAGAGCTTTAACAATGAAAGCTTTAACAAAACAGAACTTTATCAAACACAGCCATAACAAAAAAAGCTTTATCAATCAGTAGTCTGCTGACTTATATATTTCTCAATCTCATTACTTTAGTTCCTAATTATATATAAAGATTACTCTTACACTTCAGATTCAGGATTATTAGCTTGGTTCCGACAGTTTTCAAGCTTCCGTTGTACTGGACCGATTAACTCACGCTGCAGAGCTTCCTGATTCTTAACTATACTCTTAATTCCTACAAACATAACATAAAATACTTTGAAGGCAATATAGTTCCAGAAACACTAGTGAGTTAAATATAGAAACTTATGTTATAATCAACTATCTGAATGTAACCAAGAATTGTAACTTGTCTATTCCAACAGTAGTGAAGTCAGTCTAACAGGGCTTTATATAGTTGGCAACTTTATATCAGTATTGTCCCCTTAAAATTAGAATGGATTGTTCCAAATCTATGCCAGATAAGTCCATTATAGAAATTTAGCTATATTAAAGGGACTCCACTGAGATTCAAAGCAAAAGCCTAAAATCACAAAATTTGATTTTTTTTACAAAGATCAACTGGGGTACTTAAAACAGAAAGGTATGCAAAAGATAATATAGAATATATTCACTTGAAGCTTAAACAAGAGCTGTCGGTAGGACAGCAACGCTCAACTATTCTTAGTGCTTGATAGTAAAAAAAATGCTTGATACAGTTACCTCCTCCTGTTTACAGGTTGGGGTCATGATGGGGAACAAGTGTGCAAAGTTTCAAAGCCATATGTCTATGGACTTTGAAAATATTTGAACTATTACAAAAACTTTAACGTAAATTCTAAGTCGAAAAAGGGGCATAATTCTGTCAAAATGCTTGATAGAGTTACCTTCTCCTGTCTACAGGTTGGGGTCATGATGGTGAACAAGTGTGCAAAGTTTCAAAGCCATATGTCTATGGACTTTGAAAATATTTGAACTATTACAAAAACTTTAACATAAATTCTAAGTCGAAAAAGGGGCATAATTCTGTCAAAATGCTTGATAGAGTTACCTTCTCCTGTCTACAGGTTGGGGTCATGATGGTATACAAGTGTGCAAAGTTTCAAAGCCATATGTCATTGGACTTTGAAAATATTTGAACTATTACAAAAACTTTAACGTAAATTCTAAGTCGAAAAAGGGGCATAATTCTGTCAAAATGCTTGATAGAGTTACCTTCTCCTGTCTACAGGTTGGGGTCATGATGGTGAACAAGTGTGCAAAGTTTCAAAGCCATATGTCAATGGACTTTGAAAATATTTTAACTATACAAAAACTTTAACATAAGTGGTTACGCCGACGCGGACGCCGACGCTCGGGTGACTGCAATAGCTCTACTTATTCTTATCGAATAGTCGAGCTAAAAAATTAGATATACCAATTCCAGAAAGTTTACTAGTTCTTTATTAATATACATGTAGATACTGATCTCTTAAAAGAACTGCCACAAACATTTCCTGATCTATTATTAACATCGATATTTTATATCTATCACCTAATACTACATGTAATATTACTTACTTTTAATCTGAGTAGCCATTTTCTTTATTTCTTCTGTTGGAGAACCCCTTAATAAAACTGTGGTAACATAACTGAAAATGAAACATTATAATGAATATAAATCTAATTTAATATACAATTTCTGCAAGCTAACTGAAACAGGCTGTTTCCCAAAGCCAAAAGGCTGTTTCACTAAGCTAAAAATACTTTATTTTCCCCTTTATGTTCCCTTTGAACAGAAAAAAAGTTCTTCAGTAAAAGAAGTTAAATTACCAAATAAACATCTCTCATAATGTTTGTTGAAAACAATTATATCAGCTGAAGGTAACTTGACCTCAATTAATTTTTTTTAATCAATATGGCAGAACGGAAATGAACTTCAGTGAGGGTGACAACGTGCTTTTTCAAATTAAAACGCGGAATACTTATAGTTCGTTCCGAAAAATAATTTTGGTATCAAATGATTTGTTAAACCTTTAAATTTAAGAAAATAAATCTTAATTTAACAAAAACGATCTTTTTTAGCGTAATTTTGGCCTCAACTTTGGTGGACTATATTGTAGGCGCTAGAGGTCATATGCAAATTTAAGACACACCTTTGGGAAAGGTCAGCCAATCAGCTGTCTTCTAAAATTAAATTCATGAATATTAAATAGGAATCAGACCGCCGCATTTCTGTTTGAAGTTGATGGGTGTCACACGCGATAGGCATGATTGCCGATTATCAACAACATGTCAACAACACCAATGGTCAGTGGTTATAAACAGGGGCAAATGGCATAACATAAAATTGATTATGATCTTATCTATACCATCTTAAAGACAATTTTATTACCTTTCACAGCGTGTAATTGCTTTTGAAATACCTTTGGAAATAATGATTTTATGATGTAAAAAGTACACCGACCGTCAAAATTAAGTGGATTTCCAGCTGATTTGCGATTGATTATCGGATAAGCTGGGGTTGCTACTCTTTACATTTAAAATGGAAAATTTGATTTATCTTTTTTAGATTAATTGTGCTATATTTTCCCCTTCACAAAGTCAAAGGTTGTTTTGAAAAATTATAAAAAAAGTACTGTGGTCCTTTTTTATTTTTATTTTTCATAAATTTAATTGCTGGAAATACTACTTTACAATATAAACATGTTTTGAGGTTGACAAAATCAATATTGCTACTTCTATAAGCCCTTCTGGCTTCACCTCATGGTTAGCCAAAACATATTAACATCTTTTTTTATTACTTCAGCAAACAAACTTAATACATCTTGTGAACAATCCTTATACACCCCAACTTGCCCATGCGACCACGTGTATTAAGCGACTTTTGTCTTAAGCGGCCACTTTCAATTCCCCCAGTTCATTTTCTCTCTATATCTTTAATGTATTAAGCGACTTTTGCTCAACGCGACCAACGACCGCTAATTAGTCAGCTAATTGAGATCAATCTTTTAATTAAACAACCACTTTAACATGTCAAGTAATTGTGTTTTTAGAGAAAGCCGCCTTATAATGTCACAAATGTCAACAATCAAAACACAATATATAAATGTGTGAAAAACTCTATTTGCCAAACCGTTTTAGTGTATGCAAATAAAGGTAAGTATACGCATGACTTGTATTATCCAGTAATATTGATAAAACAATGCAACGCTCCGCCCCTACTCAGATGGTGTATACGCTTAGCTGTTGATATTTAGACTGCATTAAATTGACCTTGAACTTGATCAGCAATTAAATTAATTGTTACAATCAGATGTAGTTTGTTTATTTCAAATGAAAAATGCACAACAGAAAAAAGCTTCACTTATCAGGGTTTTCGTGTTGGAGACAAGGAAATACAACAGAGAAGTTTAAAATTCTGGAAAAATGTCAAACATGTACGTAATGGATCAAAACTGATTTGTAAAATATCTGAAAGTTATTTTTTTACATTAGCATTCATTTAGATTATCGGAGCATTCTAATTATTAAATATCTATATAAATGAAGTTGAAAAACATTCCCACAGCAAAAGAAAGATGTCATGTATAAATTTTGACTTTTTATCATGCTTTGTCTTAAGAGACTGTTTCATTAAATGACCGTTTTGGGTGTTTCCCTTGCGCATTCGCTTAATACAAGTTTGACTGTTTTCCTACATTAATACTTTGATTCTTTTCAAGATAACACACAACAATGGGTTTCTCAACTTTATATCTTATTTATCTCCATGGACGAAAAAGTGCATCCAACACTCAAAATGAACTGTTTTAACTGAGAAGATAGGGAGTCTTAAACTAATACAAAATAAACTTTATATTACTAATGAGCCGCGTCACGACAAAACCAACATAGTGCGTTTGCGACCAGCATGGATTCAGACCAGCCTGCGTATCCGCGCAGTCTGATCAGGATCCATGCTGTTCGCTTACCAACCCTATAACAAGTAGAGAAATTGAAAGCCAACAGCATAGATCCTGATCAGACTATGCCAATGCGCAAGGCTGGTCTGGATCCATGCTGGTCGCAAACGCACTATGTTGGTTTTGTCATGATGCTGCTCATTTTTGTATATATTTGCACTTACTTATCTAGAGCTATCCCCTCTTCACCAGCACTACATATCACTCCAGCCAGGGCAATCTAAACCAGAGAGTTAAATAACAAAGAAAATAAAAATAAATAATTTTCAAGATAAGAAAAACAAGAAATCCTGAGAGATAATCAACTACTATTATTTTAATGTTCGCAATGGATTTACGAAGCTTAAATTTTCTTCCTGGCATGCGATCAGAAATCTTTTGTCCATAAAAATGAAAAGAAACGCTAGTGGATGAAGATATTCCCCTCTTGCCTTTATCCATGTAAAGTATGTTTTAGCCACCTGGAGTTAAACCGCAACTGCTGTTAAATCCATGAATAGTTTCATCTCTTTAAATGAAAACATTGTTCGAAGTTTTCCATAATAAACAAAAACAAAATTTTAGCGATATCTACATGGGATAAGGCATAGAATGTTTACACGTCAGATACAAAGTCAACAAAAAAATCAAATAAAATCTCTGCTAAATAAAGTTTAACATATTTCCATTCATTCCCTTTCTATGTACATATTACATATAACTATAGAAATACATGTTGATTTATTTTTCTTGGGTTATCATATATCTATTTCAGATGTAATATATTTTATTACTCAGGCCTATGTACCTAAGAATAAATAAAGCTGTCCAACTTTCTGTAAGCTAGCTTGACAGCTTCCTCACATTAAAAGAATTCCAAATCCATGATGAAATTTGAACCCAAAGTGATGAAATTTGAACCCAAAGCGATGATATTTGAACCCAAAGCAGAGAGAGTGGCAAATGATTTTGAAGTCACCAACTTAAAGGACTCAGCGAAACAACATACAACAATGCACTTATAGTATTAAGTATATGTATCCTTGTTTTAACCTATACAAACATGCAAACATACCTGTGAAGGTGAATATATAAGACAAACGTCTGTCGACAAAGATTTCTCCACAAACTCCTCCGCATTTTTTCTAAACCTCTCTACACTCTCTGGTTTATCCTTGAAATAACGAGTCTGTAAAAATAGTACAATATAAAATGAGCCACGTCACGACAAAACCAACATAATGGATTTGCGACCAGCATGGATCCAGACCAGCCTGCGCTGATCAGGATCCATGCTGTTCGCTATCAGTTTCTGTACTTGTTTTAGGGTTTGTAAGCGAACAGCATGGATCCTGATCAGACTGCGCGGATGCACAGGCTGGTCTGGATCCATGCTGGTTGCAAACCCATTATGTTGGTTTCGTCCTGACGCTGCTCAAATATCTTACACTGCTGAATGTCCATTGTTAATAGGGTGATTTTATTATCAAAATGCAAATTTAAAAAAATTACAAATTTCAAAATAAAACAGGAAACAGTACAATGTCTAAATCAGTTTGCATTGTAAATTTTCCATTGAGAAAACAATGGGCAAAACTGCAAAAAATTGTCCTGAAACAAGTCTCTATTTGGAGACATGCGGCTGAAAATATGTTATCAAAAGATGGAACAATTTTACTTACTTTAAGATCAATGAGAAATCCCTCGAGGGGTCTGAATGGGTTGTGTACAGTCAAATGATAATGTAGTTTATCCATTAAGAGAAGTTCAAAGCCGAGGATAATGTTGGCAAATTTCTCCCTATCTCCCTTCAGGTTACCAACAAACTGTCCGATAGACACGTTAAATTCCTCTACCTTACATGATAGGTATACACAAGTCAACCTGCAAGAAAAATCAGACAAATTTTTTAAACAAGGGACATATTGTACAAATCAACACCCAGTAGTTTGTCTCACTTATCTGGAAAGAGGTCTTAGCCTCATTATTTTGAAGAAAATTACTGCTACAATTGCAATTAAATATGGGCAATAGTAAAAAAAAGTGCAGTAATGGGTTAGCTCCTACTAAATTTAAAAAAAAGTTAACCCATTATTGCCCTTAGGTGATAAGTATTACATGACTTTTATCAGGATAGTTTAGCTATAAAATGTGATCTAAATTGCATTAAAAATGCTCTACCAGAGTCCACAACTGATGAGATGAACTAAAAGTTATTTCGGACATTCTTAATTACATTCTCTCCTCTGAACAAGTCTAGAAAAAAAAGCTTTCATTTTTCAAGCGTTTTGCACTAAGAAAAAAACAAAAGACAAGACACTTACATGAGATCCCTAGGATGATAATCCATTATAGAATTATGGATATAAAACCGTTTGAAGTACGTTAGAGCAGTCCCCTGTAGGAAAAAAGGAATTGTATCAAACATTGTTAATAAAATAAACAAATATCAAATTAAATTTTTATGCTATTAGTTTATACAAATTTATTTTAGTTTGTCTATGTTGGAACTTAAAAGATTATTGAAACACTCTTGAATCTGTTCAAACCAGTATTAAGCAATGAATGTAAAGTTGCTTGCTCAAGGAAACAATGGCTTGCCCCTGACTCGGTCCAAACCTATGCGGCCAGCAATCCATAGATTACTAGTCTGACTTGTTAACTTCATTACACTATTGAATGCATTAGAAATTTTCCTTCATCATGTCCATACAAATATTATATTGCACCACCAATAATGCTCGAATTATACAGCAAAAACTACAATGTCAGTTGTCTAGTTGGGACTTTTATTCAGTAAATATACTTTTATACATATCTGATTCATTTCTATTAACCTCTACCATGTGAAAGGCAATTGAATCTACCCATGTGACCATGCCTTCTGATTATTTTCTGCAGTTTGCTATTCAGTCAGTATACTAGTACATTTTAAAAATTCCCCTATAAATGATAAATGGTTTTGTCCGGTCTATAGACAGATGAGACCATTCAAGATATTTAAGGTGTAATAAGTGTCTTAAAACATAAATATATTCACTGTGTCGGATATACAGGTCGAAACTATAAACTGTAGTTACCTGTACATATTTTGGCATTGTAGGGTTAAACTTCTTACAGAATTCCCTCAAAATAAATTCAAAATGTCGCATTAAAAGTTTTTCTTCTGCTGGGTTAAGGAAATTCTCATGTCGACTGCTTTCCTGTAATAATGAATTATATATTTAATAATTAATCAAGATAATTGTGAAAATGTGTCTGTTTCAAAGCTAAAAATTGAATACTAGTAGTTCAAAAAAAAAATGTAATATCATTATTGTTAAAAATTTATTGTTCGGTTTTACATCGCACCAACACAGTAAAGGTCATATGGTTACTTTCAAGCATAACTGGTGAGGGAAGACATCTGATGCCAAAGAAAATTTGTGCATTATTTCAGGCATCTAAGCTGTAAATTGCTTCCTCACTTAAAGTAATCAAATATGAAATACACCTGTCAATAAATAAAGGCTGTATGGGCAAAAATATTAAAATCTATTTTGAGCATTGATGACCTTGACCAAACTGACCCCTAACTCCATCCAAAGGAAGAATACCATGCAAGTTATCTTCCAACCAAATATGAAATAAATCTGTCAATAAATAAAGGCTGTATGAACAAAAGTGTAAAAATCTATTTTTAGTACTTGTGACCTTGACCCAACTGACCCCTAACTCCATCCAAAGTAAGAAAAACATGCAAGTTATCTTCCTACCAAATATGAAATATATCTGTCAATAAATAAAGGCTGTATGGGCAAAAGTGTAAAAATCTATTTTTATCACTAGTGACCTTGACACACTGATCCCTAACTAAATCAAAAGGAAGAATACCGTGCAAGTTATCTTCCTATCAAATATGAAATACACCTGTCCATAAATAAAGCCTGTATGGGCAAAAGTGTAAAAATCTATTTTTAGCACAAGTGACCTTGACCCACTGATCCCTACGCAAATCAAAAGGATGAATACCATGCAAGTTATCTTCCTACCAAATATGAAAAATATCTGTCAATAAATAAAGGCTGTATGAGCAAAAGTGTAAAAATCTATTTTTAGCACTGGTGACCTTGACCCAACTGACCACTAACTCCATCAAATTTTATGTTCCTATCAATAATAAATGACATCTGTCTATAGAATATGGTTAATACACCTGTAAAAATGTAAAAATCTATTTTTAACATTGGTGACCTTGACATTGGTGACATTGACCTTGACCCAAATGACCCCTTACTACACCAAAAGAAGGAGGACCTCCCTTGGCATGTTTGTATTAAACATGGAAAGACATCAACCAAAAATAAAGGCTGTATGAGCAAAAATGTTTAAATTTATTTTCTAAACCAGTGACCTTGACCTTGACCCTAGAGACCACTTACTCCACAAAAAATAAGAGGACCATTAAAGGTATCCACCTACCAAATATGCAAGATATCATTAAATAAATTAAACAATTAAGAGAAATTTACGATAAATCCAACTTGCCGGAATAGGTTAACCAGACAAGGTCCTATTTTCGAAGTGAAAAAAGGGAAATAAGTGGGAAATATGGATGACACAGTTATATAACTTGGCAATATCATGTACTTTGTATTGATAAGTAAGTGTGTAAATTATGAAGCCATTAGTATAGATAGAACTTAAGATATTTCCAACTTGCCATTTTAGGTTAACCATTATTCATTTTCTAAGTGCTGAAAAGGGCAATAACTTGGTAAATATGGAAGCCATAGTTATGTAACTTTAGTAAGTGTGTTAACTAAGAAGCTATTGGTACAGGTAGAACTTAAGAAAAATCCAACTTGCCGTTCTAAGTTAACCTCTACAGACAGACGGACAGACGGTTCAATTACTATATGCCAGGGGCATAAAAAGAAAAAGAAGCAAAAAGTAGGCTACTTACATCCATATTGTCTCCAAATATTTTAATGAATCTCTCATTTGCTTCCTTACGTAGCAGATCTATTTCTGAAACCCCAGTGAACATCCAATGTTTCCTCTGAGTTCCTGATGCAAACATCTTTCATATCTGACATCTGTAAAGTTTAAATTTATTTATTATCTTTACATTACGCATTCACAATGAGTCAATCGGAACATCCTCGGCTATTATCAATAATAACCTCAGAAACAATACGGATTGAAATTAGTTCTATAATGTGGTTTCAGATGTAAACAGAAACAAATGTAATGTACGCTAATGTATATATTTGACATCAAAAAGAAAAGTAATGTCTGTTTCGGTACTCTTATGATTGAAAATATGTCTGTTAACAACTTGTAATTTAAAAATGCCCACTGATGTACAATTTTAAACAAATCCTACTAAATGTCAACAGGTTAATTTTTTGTTCTTTCAGTTTCTACAACCATAATAATAAATATATAAATAATGTAATGTTTGATTTTGTATCTATGAATTCATTTATTTTAGGTGGACTTTTACTAATATTGGAAATAAACTTGTCAACAACTCCCAGCATCAAATTGCTATTTGTTTACATGTTAAGTTTCTTTGCGTAGGTTAGACTGAAATACAGCATCCGTTCTGTGTATTTATACTATTGTGTTTGGGGTCCTTATCCGAAGACTGATGGAAAAGTTGCGATTGCACAATGAGTATGATGACTTATTCTGTTGCACTCACACAACCCTGATACCATTCCGATGATCAAGTCTTTATGGAAGTTCCTATTTGAAAGTGATGTTTTAAGTAAAACATTTGATCACATACCCGTGCCGCTTTTGCAACTCCGTAAAAATGGTATTGCATGGTCGTGCATATAATTTGTTGCAACACCATCTGCGTTGTTTTAAGTAAAACATTTGTTCACATACCCGTGCCGCTTTTGCAACTCCGTAAAAATGGTATTGCACGGTCGTGATTATAATTTGTTGCAACACCATTTGCGTTATACAAACAGTGTAAAGACGCACTAAATGTTAGCATTATATACATAGGTGCGTCAATTTTGTATGCGATAAATAGAATTTTAAATTCGTGTAAGTTCATTACTGATTTATTGAACTTGCTGAATAAATTTAGAATTGAACTTATGTAGTTAGATCTACTTACAGTTACACTCATTAAATTTTCTCGATGTATTTCTTTTAAAATTTCAAAGTTAAATCTAAAACTTTACCTACCATTAAAACAAATTGACATTATTAGTGTAAATATCGCTTTCGTACATAAAATTAAAAATTAACACAGGTATGAGTGGGATTGTGTACGAATAAATCAGGTACGAATTGACTTACGCACGAGTAACTTTACATTAATTTAAACCATTTATTCTTTTTCTACTGTCACACAAGAGAATATTTATCTTAAGCATTGAAAAAACTTAAATAAAAACAAGTCATTTCTTAGGGTCATGACAAATAACAACAAAGAAACAATTTTACCACAAAATATCCGGCCAGTTTCGTCTCTGTCTTTAAACGCTTGATTGCTGGTTCCCGATCTGCTTGTGGTAGTTGAAGTACTTTCATTGTGAGTGTGGTACCATTTAAAAGTGAAACCCAAAGTGGACAGGTAGTAAAAATTTCAAATTGCCTGGAAATCTGGCCATTATGTCTTTTGAACAATGCTTGAAATGGTTTTAATTTTATACAGATAATTAATTAATGTTTGCTTTTAGTGCCTGAGTCAAGGAAATGGTTAAAATTGTAAACAAAGTTGATCTACATTTTGTACCTTGGTCTGAAATAGAAATTAATTCTTATATGTCTTTACTTCTACCAGGTACGTATATTAACGTACTATACGTACCTGCTTCTACAGTGAGAGCATATGCTATATTTTGACCAGGTGAAAAAATATGCAGCCTAACCAAGATTCGAACCCGGAACTCAATAAATATCTTCTGTGATCTATTGTAAATTTAAGCACATGAACTTGAAATTTAATCAATAGATCACAAACATGTGTTTTTATATAGAGGTAAGGGCTATATCACTAATACACGCATATTTTGTGATCTATTGATTAAATTTCAAGTTCCTGTGATTTAAGCAAGTTAAGATATATGTATGTAGTTCATTCACGGCCCTCAGGCACTGACCGGGCTTCGAACCCAGGACCTCTCGATTACAAAGTTGACACTCAACCACATTGCTAGACGGTTAACACAACAGCGAGGCTGTTGGAAATTGCCTATATACATGTAATAACTACTTTTCTCCATAGATTTTAACTGGAAGGTAAACTAACCAGGGTTGGCAAAATCTGATTTTAATTTACTTGTCTGTTTTTGTCTCAAGTATTTCTTAACTTGTCCGCATGATATTTATATAGTTAATTCTTGAAAATTTCCACTTGTCAGTACAGGCTGTGTTACCACCTGGGTGATACGGACAATCAGTTTTACCATCCCTGCTTAAACAGTGACAATTTGGAGCAAGTCACTCTGGAGAGCCTCCTCTTACACCCTCATCACAGTCCATGACATTACAGTTCATGACATTACAAAGCATCGACTTAGAGTTTTCTCTGCTTAATGTCACCAACTGAGAAAAGCTAATTCACAGTTTGCATTGATCAATCTTGTGGATCATTTCGATAATATTCAATTGCATTACTATTTACACCCAGGCCAAAATTTTTAAAAAAAACTGGTTTCTGTAACTTTGTTATATGAGCCTTTCAAACAATATTAATATTTCATTATTCCAGATACATAAACTATGGCTGATGATGGTGAAATAAAAGAGGACCTAGAGAAACTGTATGATCAGATGTTTGCGTTTAGGTAAATCAAGGCCGTCGTCGATGGTCCGGCCGGTCCGGCCTTGGCCGGACCAATATTTTGGCCAAAAAATGAGTAAAAAAAAAAAAAAAAAAAAAAAATTTTAAAAATTAGAAAAACACGCATCGCTGATTAGCAATCTGACACTTAACTGGCCCCTTATGCAATACGCGGTAACATACAAACATGACGCGAAGAAACAAATGGACACTGTTTATTGACCAGGTATATGTAGGGGTCCTACGAAGTTAAGTGTGAAGTTAATTGACATCGACGTGGCTTTGTACAGTTCACCGTATATACATGTATATATATGTGCATTATGAGTATCTTGCATGAACTCGTATGGCTGAATTCTCCGAGAACTTGATAATATTTTATTGATTGTACGCGGCAACCGTTCAAAAGTCATATTTTTATCACATATCCGTGCCGTTTTTGCGACTCCTTGAAAATGGTATTGCACGGCCGTGCATATATTTTGACGTCATTTGCGTTATACACACTATATAAATGTTAGCGTTTTTCTATGGGCGTCAATGAAAAATGGTTCTTTTTCACTTCAAAAGGTACTTAAATTATTTTTGGTATGTTATAAACAGAATATTGAATTCATGTAAGTTCATTACTGAATTTATTGAACTCGTTGAATAAAATAAATTTTCATTCAACTCCTAAAATAAATTCAGTAATAAACTCATTCAATTACTCTATTACATAATTACAGTGCAGGACGTGTTCCGGCCTAAGTATTTTGAAGCAATCGATCTTGCCATGGCCAGTGTTAAAGAGAGATTTGACCAACCGAGATATCGCGTACTTCAGAACGTGGAGGGTTTATTTATTAAGGCCGCACAACCTTTGAAGACCGTTCACTAGAAAACTTGGTTTTGTTTGTGATTTATATTGCAACGATATTAACCGAGACATCTTAGAGGTGCAGCTTCAGCTGTAACGTTCACATTTTGACAAATCAGAAAATAGTACTGTTACTCTACCTGACGCTTTGAAATTTGTGTCAAAACAATCGGTGCTAGAACTGATCGAGGTCGTTGTGTTGTTAAAAAATTTGTTAGTAATGCCTGCTACTAATGCTACCAGTGAAAGGACATTCTCGGAGCTCAAAAGAATAAATATGAAAATACACAGGGAGATAATAAGAACGGCGAGTGCATTGTTGTAGAATAATGCACGCTTCGGACGTGCTTTGTTTATACATGTATAGAAAAAATTCCGATAGTGTTAGAATGTTTATTTTTCATTCGCCATATACCAATTACATGTATTCATCTTTTATGTTCACCTGCCTGTCCGTTATGCAAACCTTAAATTTCACCCTTAAAACTTACGACGCACTTAAATCTGTAAAAAAATCGTTGACATTTTACTATAACATGTTCTATCGACAGGCTGTAAAATGTGCCAAATATACGGGAAAACGCCCCTGAGAGCATCCTAGAATAAAAAAAATTTCCGGGGGAGCATGCCCCCGTACCCCCCTAGATTCTGGCTAAAATCTACCAAATTGGCCGCACCAATCACAAAATCGTGACGACGGGCCTGTAAATATCTTCATTTAGTTGCTTATTAAATCTACTAGAATGAATGTTCCTCATTGATAAGGGGTAGAAATGCAGTATTTCATGTCTTCTACTGGCACAGATTTTCTCTTGTCCACAAACAAGTTCAATAGAAAAATCTGTACTAGTCTGCCAGGATAACTTCCGAGTCAGACAAGTCCAGAATAGGATTTTCACACCCCAGGCTAGTATGATTTGCAATATTTGTTCTCTGGGAAAGCTTGCCTGAGGGATAGAAAATTCTGCTCATCCACTTGTATTTATGGTTAGTAATTGAGAGAATTTAAAATAAGACAAGTTGAAAATTATAGCCCGCTGGTAGAATTTAGCAGCAGCTAGTCCTACAGGTTGAGTGGCTCTGAAAATAATTTTTGATCCCTATTGCCTAGCATGATTTAGCCTAATAAATTAAGGGTGATAGGTTTGCCTCATTTAAGAGACTGTTTTTCCCTACTGTCATTCTGGAAAAAGACATTGACCGTCCAAAAATAATCTCAATGCCTACTTGACAAGTCGAATTTGATGGACTAAGCATAATTATGTCCATACAACTATCACAAGCGCGTTAAGATCTAAATTTTTGGACTAAGATTTACTCATGATAATCTTTTTTTGTCAGATATATACCACACATTGTTGTCAAGTTTCCCTTGAGCTTGCTGATACCAATGCAAACAGTGCAGACCAAGAACAGCTGGCAAACCGTCACTCTGATCATGGTCTGCACTATTCTGTCATTTCATATTTTGATATTCTTTCAAAATGATAAATAGTTTTGTCAAGATTGAAAGATGTTTAAGATGTTTAGGATGGTAAGGGTTGATTTAGTGATGCCTTGTCCAGATTCTGAGTTACTTTTTTGTCAGAACTCGAATACAATTTGTTGGACCATTGTATTATGATGCTTTTAAAGGGCAGGCAATACTAGACATCACTGTTTGCTGCTGTTATAATGGGCATATATTAATCATGTCTAAAAATAGTCAGAATTTCATCATCATGCACTACTATATTGTATATTACAGGTACACAGATGACGATCCTGACTACAAGCAGACCATCTCAGAACCTATTCCACCATGTCCATGTATAACAAGATATTTTACCAGATCAAAAAAAAATTTTGACAACAGGTTTTACTATTTAATCATTTTTTGTCATACTGCATGTTTCACTTTGTAATGTCGCTTTTCATTGGATAATTGGGACTTTTATATAGTTTTATATACACAGCTGTAATTAATTTATGAAGAAATCATATTTTTTCTTCTAAAAAGGAAATATGGTGTATTATAAATTTTGTGATTTTTTGATAGGTTATATGCGATAATATGGCCATAATATTAACTGTTCTTCGCAATATAACCCTCACCTACTAGCAAGCAACCATTTATATAGAGATACACTGTATATAACCTGTCAAAATTTCTAAATAACTTAAATTTTCTCTGTCGATTGATACTATGGCTGTATAATTTACACTCTTACTAACAAGTACAAAGGTTGTGACCTTGGCAAGTCACATAACTATGACATCTATTTTTTCCATGTTATTTCCCTTTCATGAAAATGTGTCTTAGATGAATTGGATCACATCTTATCTTCTATCTGTTCAAAATTAGATTCATACTGTACATACTGTTACCGTTGTCACTGTTGAAATGATTTTGTCAGGATCACTTTTAAGGCTACTGAAGTTAAATGGTACGGTAATTTACCATAAAACTTAATCAATGAAAAACAATATAAACACTTGAAAATACCAAAACGCTCAAGTACAGTTAATCTTATTTATTAAGATCTTCTGTTAAACAAATGCATAAAACAGGATAATTAAATACTTTAAAACATGTAAATTATTGCCCTTGGTATTATTATTGTAGATCTAATGAGTTCGTCAATGTAAAGTTGTTAAAGAAGGGGGTTATATGAACGTGTTTCGCGTAAATTACAGTAAAAAAACTTCTAGCGGAATATTTATTTAGCGGATTGTTCAAGTTTTGACGGATTTCCGTTGTTTGGCGGATTTTTAGTTAGGGTTGAGCTACTGTTCAAATAATAACCTTGTTAGTCCGTGTTTCACGGTTGGAAAAGCTGCTCAACTGAATTGAGCGTCTGTATTTATAGACTTTGGCGTGTTAATTCCGAAATGAAATTTGCCCGCCGCTAAAACATTCAAAAGTACTCTTATCCAATAAGATTCGACAACGGAATTAGTTAACCAATCAATGCGTTCCGCTAAACATAGCACAGTCATGGCTCATACGCCGTCAGACAAAATAGATCCGTCAAGGATCCGCTAAAATGTTATTATTCTTTTATAGAATAATAAAGACATAAAATATTGGCAGATTTTTATATAATAGTCACTCTTTTTCCAAAATATGATTATGGTAGTTTCGTTGCAAGAAAATGTAAATAATACACATCTTTGTGTTATAGTGACACTTTTAGTGTATACTTTCTGCATCTATTATAATGGAATTATAGTTCAGATATATTTCTACATATCTGATTGTTATTATTGTTATTCTTTGGTCAGTTGAGTATCTACGCTCAATTGTCAGGTTATTTCGCGACCCGGATCATGTTCACATAGTTCTGAACGATATTTCAATGGTTCTTTAACTCGAATCATTGAATATGTATACTGTTTACTGTTATATATATAGTTGATAAACAACCACACAAATCACGGAAATGACAGAGCAGAATTTAAGTAAAGGAAAGGTAATATCTCGTCACACTGTCAAATTGTTTACATGTATATCCATAACACTACTTGTCAATACAAAGTGTATGGCTTTGGCATTACTAAACAGGGGCTTGTGTTTTGATATACAAATTAAGCCCAGATATTTTATTCTTTTTATGTACATCTATCATAGTACTGGCAATTGAATGGGATACTTGCTCTATGCCACTGGTATTGTGTCATGCCAACCTTCTGACTGGACACCATAATGTTGAATGGCTAAATAAAGCAGTTGAATAAGAAAATTCCTCGAGTTAATAATTTCAAAAGAAGTCAAGTGCATTCCATATTGGTAATTGTCACATGGTTTAAAGTTAATACTCTGAAAACTTTTAATCTGTGAATGTCTTGTTAGGGAAAAATAGACAATTTCAAAATAGTTACATATGCTCAACAGAACAATGCTTCCGCTGAATACCTACTCAAGGAATTTCTGGATATTTTTTACCAAATTATGAAAATATAAAAAAAATGCACTTTTCCTGAATGACAGACTGTCCATTAACTTTTTTTTTTAAAGATTTATTGCATAAATTTTTATATCTTTTTTTGTTTGTAGAGACAATAGGAATCAAGGTGGAAGAGGTCAGTGGGGTCAAAGAGATAGAGGTCAATGGCAAGGTAGAAGTAACAATTACAGAGATGACAGAGGTCGAGATCATGGTTATCGTGATAGAGATCAAGGTCAAGGTTATCGAGACAGAGGTCAAGGTTATCGTGACAGAGATCAAGGTCAAGGTTATCGTGATAGAGGTCAAGATCAAGGTCACAGCTATCGTGATAGAGATGACAGAGGTCAAGGTCATCATGGTCAAAACTATGATGACAGACATAGAAATAGACATAGAGACCAACGTTAAAACCCTTACTGAATTGTTGCCACGGTTACAAAAGGGCAATGTGAATAAATGAAGTAATACAGTCAGGATGTTTCTAAAAATAGGAGGAGGATAAATATTATCAGATAATGTCAGTGTCACCTTGTAACATGTGAAAATTAATGCAACCTGACAGTTGTTTATATGATTGTTATTTATATATTTAATATAAAGTTAATTGCCAAGGAACAACTGTTACACGAGTTGTCATACTTATGAATTGATTGATGTGAAACATAAGACTTTATTGTGTGAAATTTCAATTAAAAAAAATGTAAAAATTATGCCCTGTTGGGAATTGCTTAATCTAGGTAAAAGTTAGAGCGAGTAGTTTTCAAGATGCATTTGTATTATAATCTATTTTAAATTAACAATATTTATTGTGCTATAACTGAAGGTATGATGTAATAAACTTAGTAAAAATTATGAACTACTTCTGCTTGTAGACATACTTCACATGCAACTAGCCTTACAAATTAATAAAATCTTAACGGCGAAGCCGACTAGCTGTTGGAAAACATTTAGTGTATGTTTTCATCTATTTTGGTATTGAGCGTCACCTGATGTCATAACAGTTAGGGTCACGGCTAACTTTCTATTTCAAAGTATGCGAGTCATAAATGATGAAGTAAATGTAGTGTTTGAGTAAATGTGTAAATGTGGTGTTTACAAGAACTAATTATTTTGCATTTGATGTCTAGTGACAGTATGCTTTGAATATTGAAAAAAAATACAAATAATTTAAGTGGCTGTAAGATAAAAATCATTGATGTTAAATACTTCATTTGTTTTGTTTGTTTGTTTGATTTGGTTTTAAGTCACATCGACACAGTATAGGTCATATCGCGAGGTTCCAGCTTTACTGGTGGAGGAAGACCTCAGGTGCCCCTCTGTGCATTATTTCAGACACGAACGGGCATCTGAGTAGAACCACCCACGTTCCGTAAGCTAGCTGGATAGCTACTTCATTTGTGGCTCACTATAGGACCCTTAATGGTGGTCATATTTTAGATTATACACTGTAGCTGAAAGGACACGGCTCATTTCATAAATGTGAACACATAATCTATTCATACAATCCACTTTTTGAATAGAAAATGCCATAATTTCAACCTGATGTATTTCGCTGTTTTTTTTCGTTTGTTTACACATAAAGATCTTTTAGTTTGAATCACCTTCCTCTTACCTTATTAACCCTAGAGAGAGGAAATGCAGTATCCAAGAAACAATAATTTTATCTTGCTTATTTTTAGCTTGACTAAATATTTATACATGTATATTAGGGAGAGCTATCCTACTCACTTGGGTGTCCTGTCTGGGTCACACTTTTGGTTAAGTATTTTGTACCACTGCGCTTATTTCTTATACCCCTTGAGATGTTGCTTTGAAACTTTGTATAATTGTTTTTGACCATCATCCCAACTTACAGGCATGAGGACATAACTCTGTCAAGAATTTTGACAAGATTGTTCACCCCTTTAATTTTGGTTAAGTTTATTGTACCACCCCACTTTTTCGCCTAAATACCCTTTTTTGAGGTATTGCTTTGAAACTTTAAATACTTGTTAGTGACCATCTTCCCCACTTACAGACAGTACTAGTAATAGTTGAGCTAGCACATCTTATTGACAGATCGTGTTGTTATTATCTGATGTGATTGGAGTAGAACTTCTAAACTGTCAATGATATTTGATTGAAACTTCATACAGAAATAGACTAATAAGAGGAAGTGCAGAGTCAAAGAACCATAAATCTAAATGACTTGGTGTATGAATGATTTCTACAAATAATGCTTGTTCAAGCCACTTGTTCCTCAACATTTTTGGTTTGAATCCCACCAGAGACTTTGGATTCCTTCATGTCGTGAAGCTATCCAGCTGAGCTACAGAATATCAATGGTTCAAACTAAGGTGCCTGCTTGTGCCCGAAATGCACCAGAGGTCGTCCTCCACCAGTAAAGCCTGAAAGTGTCATATGACCTTTGGTGTTTGTGCAACACAAATTTCAGTAAAGAAAGGAAGTAACCCTTTTGGTTGTTGAATGTAAAGGAGAATAAAGTGAGAAAATATACCTGTGAGTGTAAAAATGTTGTTGCCAGAAACAGAGATTTAGAAGTCTAATATTTACATTAGTCCATATCAATTTAAATTGGGAACATCAATATAGAATTATGTAAATTAACAACAAAGGCATACTTAATTCTTTTTCTAGTCTTTATTCAAAACAATAATATCAAACATTTACAGACACTTAGTACGCACATCATGAATCATTATTAATTGTTATTGATTACATGACATTTATTTATTATTATATTGACATCATCGTATAGTTATATGACATCATTAATTATAGTCTAACCATACAATTAAATTCTATTATTACGAGTACCAAGCACGACTTATAAAATTCTTAATAAATAATGATAATCTTCAACAAGCCTTACATCAAACTTTGCATAAAATATTTTAAAAACTTGAAAGTAAGCATAAACAAAATTGCAAGCAGCCATTTATTGATTTCTTTTTCTAATAAATAAAATATTTAATAAAATAAAGACATTAAAACATGACTGTTAAATTATAATTTTCTAAGCTCAAGATTCAAACAAAGCATTTTTACTCGCTATATACATTAAGCTACATTTATACTCTTCTGGAATGAAGATAAAAAAGAGTGCACTTAGGCTTGTCATGATTTAAAAACACTCTGATTGGTCCATTTGAAAAAAAGCATTTTCAAATAACCAATCAGATGTTGAAAACTGAGGTTGCATCTAAAAATAGAATGCCGAAGACTATAATGCCTAATAGTATGTAAAATGGTTTGTTATGGTTGATTTTAATTATCTTGTGATGAATTGATGATTTTATTGATATATACATGATAAATGTATGATAATGGCACATCAGTATGACTGAAAATAAAGCTTGAATTTTTCCTCTGGATTTCTACATACAATTGTATATATAAAAATAACATCTTCATTACAAAATTTACATTCACAAAGAAAACAGACTATAGAAAATAAACTAAATCACATCTTAATTTTGTTACCCTCGTTGTGCGTAAAACTGACATATTATAGACCACATACTGCGTAGAGTCAGTTGTGACCTTCAAAAAAAAAAGGGGGGGGGGGACTTTTTACTGGTCGGTTGATAGGTGAACACAACTATATATAGATGACTTTTAACCCTGTTGAATTTCTTAGACATGTTCAGCTTCTATTTTCTGAACTGTCCATGATCAATTTTTGGGATATCAAGAAAGTTAGTTTGTCACTAGTATAGAGCCTGGTCAAACTGCAATTTAAGGAACTCCTCGGAGAGACAAAAGCTTAAAAACATAAATTTTGATAAAAACTGAATTTCTTACATAATTTATGACAGTCAAGACACTTAATTTACACAGAAAAATATGCAAAGGATAATTAAGAAATATAAATGAATTGAAAATCGTATTTTTGTAAAAAGCTCTATGACACTTTTCAATTTTTGGTCATTTTTCACAGTTAGAATAGTTAATCGATAAAAATGGCGGGTAATTATTCTGGAAAAATGAAGTGAGTGGATGATCTGAAATTTTGCACACTTGTATTGGTCTTCGTTAGGACGTCATGGCAAATGGATAAGTAAGTCGTTCGAAAAAAAGATATTTCCGTACCTCGCAGTGTCATAATGTCCTCAGGTTAAGGCCCTTTAAGAACGGGCTACCTAACCGTTTACAGTTTGGCACGAAGAAGGCGCGTAATGATGTTTAAGTTCCAAGCAGGGTGGAGAAGCGTATAAAGGATAAGAGTTTTGATAATAAATAAATTAAAAGTGTAACGCCTTGATAAGGCTAAAATAGTAAAATAAAACACACTAAAACCTACTGCTTAAAAATCTATTATGGCACTTTATTACAGTAGCTGCATAAAGTAACGAAAATGATGCGTAGTGTTATCCAGAGTAATTGACGTTTAAATGAGGATGGTGTTATATGGATGTTAGTATGAGCTATACAGAGCTAATTTGATGATAAACAAAGCTTTGTCAGAAAGTTGTTAATTTACCGTGCGAAGCAAAGTGAAAGACAGACAAAAAACATTGTATCCTTTATTGAGAACGCTTACCAAGAATAAGGTCAACTATAAGAGTGTCAATCTGCGGTATTTTGACGTAGAAGGTGCGTCGCGGTTGAATTTTAACAGTCGGTAAAAGTGTTTATCAACAGGTAAAGTGTTACCATATCTAAAGTATGGATGAATCATGTTCATCTAATCAATCTATGACTAAATGTAATCACTTAGGTAATTTCATTTTGTTTTGATTCTAAGATAATTAGATTCGAACACAAACAGGGGTGAGTAATAAAGGAAGGTACACACTAGAAAAAAACACCATTTTTTTTACTTGTGAAAAATGGGATGCCAACAGCCAGCAGAACATAGGGGATACATAAAAAGCAAAAATAAGAAAGAATAAAATGCAGAAGATAGTAAAAATGAACAAAGAAAGAACAAACCCATGAACAAGTATATGCAAAAAAAAATAATATTGAATTACCTCCCCTTCCTCTTCATGCCATCAGTTTGTTAAATCAATGCAGAGTACATCTTAAAATGAAATATTTTATCACAAGAAAATAGTGCCAGAATGTACCCGGTAATGCAATAATAAGATATCAGTACAGTCAAAACCCGTGCTAAAGGCCACCTATGAACAGATATAACTGTAAAACTTGTGCATTAATCCAATGGCGTCTTCATGCAATAGACATTGATGAGTCACCTTTGGTCATAAATAAAAATGGTGTTGAATGAAGGACAAGGCTGAATCTTGGGTATCTTCCATGCGGGCCTCAGATACCGGATGATAAGGCAATATTTGTCAGTAAGTATACAATTATTACAATGTCAAAACACTTGCATAGATTTTAAAATAAGATAAAAAAAAATCATTATGATCTCTTAGTAACAGTTTTCCAGTTTGTTCTTGACAAATATTATTAAAACATTTACAAACAAACTAAAAAAAAGTGCCACCTCTACAAAGTGAATTCCTGTATACCTCTTAATAACAAAAGTTTCAAATCTTCTAAAAGACATCACCATAAGAAAATTTTTATTACACAGCCAAACAAGTTGTAAATCAAACAAGTAAGACACTGTCAATCAAACAAGTAAAACAATCAAATTGTTAATCAAACAAGTTGTTAATCAGGCAAATTGTACATATTGAAGTGTTCTCTGATTTAGCAAATTGTGCAGTAACTAAATACAACTGTTAAGTTAATAAACAAATTTCGTATGACCTGATCCACCATTCTCCAACATATTAACAAAAATCGATGCATATTTATAGTTCAAATAAGTTAAAGACCTGTATAGAAAACTAGAACTGCCTACTATCTTGCGTGATACCCCGCCATAACCAACTTTG